CCCCTGCTTCCATTGGGTCTGCATGCTCAGTTCCTCCTTCTCACTTAGATCTCAGCTTAAACGTAACCTTCTCTGACAGCCTTCCTTGAACACCCTGAAAAGAGTAGAACTCTCTCCTCCCCTCAGATGCTTCCTATTATGTTCAATAGCACTTATAATTTCTGAAACTATATTTTCCTTTACTTTTTGATTATCCATCTCTCTCCATTAGAATGTGAACTTCATAAAAGCAGGGTTTTCACCCATTATATTCTTACTGCTTCATCCCAAGTTCACCCCACAGAGTGGGATCTCAATAAATTCTATTTGAATTAATTTTTCCCAACTGCTGCAGAAGAAAGCTACTACTACTAAAATTTGAATTAAACTTTTCTAGTTTCTCAAGAACCCAGGCACTAGAATATCCCAATTTGCCAATTGTCTGGGTTGTCTTTTTAAAATTTTGGCAAGTTTCAAAATAATCAAATACAGAAGTTGATACTTTAGCAAGTATACTCCTTAAATAATGCACCCTTTCTGAAAGGATAAATAGCTATGGAAGAAAAAGAGAAATCCAAGTCATTATTAAGTTTTGTTTAGATACAAAGGACTTTATGAATTACTATGAGCTTGAGGAATTTGTTCCTTGGAGAATATAATTGCTATTTTTTTTTTTTGCCATCTTGATAAAATTGATCACAGATGGTACAAAGATCACTTGCAGAGTGGGCTGTCCTCAAAGTCCTTTAATGCCAAAATAATGAGACTTTGCTATATAAAATTATTATAAGAAAGAAAATGTTTGGTCAGAAGTGACTATGTTCTTTGATAAAACTTGGGGCCTTAAATTTTATTTTTTAAAAATTATGCTGGGAAAAGAAAAACTTCAATGGAAAAATAGCTAAAGAAAATGGATATTCTCAGAAGAGGAAATCAAAATGGCCATAGACATATGACAGCATGCTCAGTTTTACTAATAATCAAAGAAAAACAAGTTCAAATGACCATCATTTTTACTTAGCAGATTTGCAAAAATTAAAAAGATCAATAATGTATGATCCATGTTACCAATGATGTGAGGCAGTAAGCACTCAATCACAGTGTTGGAGGGAGTATATATTAGTATGTTTTTGGAGGCTGAGTTAGCAGGATCTATTCAGTTTTAAACATGTACGTCCTTCGACCTGCAATTAAACACATACAAGTCCATCTTCCTGAAATATTGGCCTGTGCCCAAAAAGAATATTTATTGCAGCATTGTTTGTAATAGGAAAATTAGGAATAGCTTAATTAAATGTCACCATCAGGAGTACAGCTAATAAATACTGGTGTCTTAAAACAAACGTAGACCAGGAAGCTTTAAAAGAAGCATGGTGGCTCCTCTGTTAGCATGGAAAGGTGGCCATGATCTACTGTGTAGTTAAGAACAATATGTAGCACTATTAAAATTGCATTGATATATTTTTTACTGTTTTATCACACACAAACCTTCAGCCTATTTTTAAAACAGCAGCCAAAGTTATCCTTTTCAAACATAAGTCAGAACCTTGTTATTGCTTTGCTAAAATCCCTTCTCAGGCTTTTCTCTCACTCAGATGCAGAGTCCTCACCACAATTTCCACTCCCCACACGATCCGGCCCTCTGCCCCTGTTCTGACTTTCTTCCTCCACCCTCCTTTCCTCAGCTCTCATCATCCTGGCCTTCTCCTCAGTACCTCGGGGTTTTAGTACTTGCTGTTGCCTTTACCTGGGACTCTTCCCCTATATGTTCTCACTGCTAGTTCCTCCCATCCTTCACATCTCTTCCCAAATTTCACTTTTCAATGACCACAGCCCCTGAGCACAGTCTACATTTTGGCAGTGTACCTTCCTCCTCACCCCTCCCCTTTCCCTGGCATTTTCTTTTTATTTATTTATTTTTATTTTATGGCTGTGCTGCGCGGCATGACCAGGGATCAAACCTGCGCCTCCTGCATTGCAAGCAGGAGTCTTATCCACTGGATCACCAGGGAAGTCCCGCCTCGGCATTTTCCATTCCACTTCCTTGCTTACCTGTTCTTCACTTCCTCACCACCATTTGCTACAGGATATACTTTCTTCTTTATTGGTTTGTGGTCTGTCTCCCTCTTCTAGAACTCTAAACTCGGTGAGGGCTGAGATTTTTGCTCTTTTGTCTCATTATTGGATTCCAGCACCTAGAATAGTGCCTGGCACACATTTGGTGCTCAATAAATATTCATTGAATGAATAAATAAAATTTCATTTTTATATCTGCATAAAAACAGATGTAGAAAAATCCACAGCAAGCTATTGACAGTGATTATTTCTGGGGAGTGGGGTTGGAAGCTGATTGGAAAATTTCCATCCTGTGTACATTTCTATATCATTTGAAACATGTACCACTTACAGGTAATTAAAAACTAAATAAAAAATATTTTAAAGGAAAAACATAATGGTCCCATCTCTCCTTCTAGGTGACTCAAAACACTCTTTGGGCTCTTTTCTAGAAACATAAATGGACAGTAGCTCACCAGACTTCTCTGTCCATGGAGTTCTCCAGGCAAGAATACTAGAGTGGGGAGCCATTCACTCCTGTAGGGGGTCTTCCTGACCCAGGGATTAAACCCAGGTCTCCTGCACTGCAGGCAGATTCTTTACCATCTGAGCCACCAAAGAAGTCCCACAAATATAAAATAATTCCAGAAAAGAATTATCCTCCGTTTGTCTTCATTGCATGTGCTATCAGAGTTCAGAATATACCAGTAAAGCCTGGTCTTTATGAGGTTCTAACACCATTAATGCAGGACTTCCCTGGTGGCTCAGATGGTAAAGAATCTGCCTGCAATGCAGGAGATGTGGGTCTGTGGCTTTGATCCCTAGATCGGGAAGATCCCCTGGAGAAGGGAATGGTTACCCCTCCAGTATTCTTGCCTGGAGAATTCCATGGACAGAGGAGCCTGGTGGGTTACAGTCCATGGGGCTGGAAAAACTTGGACACAACTGCATTAATCGACCAGGAGTATAAGACAGACAGACAGACAGACACACACACACACACACACACACACACACACACCATGGTTTGCCGTTGCCAGGAGCCTGCTGGGTAAAAAGCCTTTCCAACTAACTTAAAGGACCCCTCTTTATACCCACTTTCTCCCTCCAGCAGGAGGAAAGCTTCACTGGTAGCTCCTTGAGCTGTGTTCCTTGACGTCGTAAAATCGTCAACTCCGCTGTCGGACAAGGTGAGCCTGAAACGGTCCCTTGAGGGCTACGAAATTCATCCAGTGCTAGAGGGAGCTCTTGAGACAAGACACGTGGGCTCTCTCAGAAGTAAGGCCAGCCTAACTCGGCATGACAAGCATCGCAGGAACACATTCACACACACAACGGCCACACTAACCTCATACTATGTGTCTTCCTCAAGTTGTCACAGTCATGAAGCCTCTGTTAAGTGACTCCTGATCCACACCGTGAGGTCTTTACTCCCCAGAAGCATACCCACAGTAGTATTAATAATATTCTCACTGGGAGTTGTTCCACAAGGCCCTTGACATTAGCTTTCTCTGAACTCTTAACTGGCCATAAAGGCTCCCTGGCGAGACTGCAGGGCCTCTACCTCCAGGACAGCACTTGGGGGATGAAGGGGTGGAATACAGCTCTGAGAGGTCGGAAGCAGGACAGACCTGCCTGTCCCTGACAGTTTCTGCAGCTTACCCTGGAAACTAGGGCAGCAACAGCCAATTCTCATCACCATTTTGGTATGAAAACTGGAACTCTTCAGATTTTAAATGAGAACAAGTCAACCAGCTGGGTTGTTTTTATCTTTTTTTTTTTCAAGAGAGTCAGCTGGAATGAGAATTACGACTATTTGAGAACGGCCCCTGGTAGACAGTTACCACTTGATTTTACACATGATTTCTAGTATGTTTTGGCAAAGCAACAGAATAGGGCTGTGGAGCTACTGCTGACAACTTTTCTGAACAAGTGCTTCTGGGCTCAGCTTTGCTTCTTTTGAAACACTGATTTATTACTCCTTTGCTCAAGCTTCATTTCTCAGGCCTTTTTCCTCTAATGACACTTTAGAAAGGAGATCACTTTACTCTGGAGGGGTCTGCTTGTTGAAATTCACCTTTCTTTGGGACCAGAGCACAGGTTTGGAGTAGGACCATCCATGTGACCTCGAGTAAGAATACTTACCTCTCTGAACTCCAGTTTACTCTTCTGTAAAATGCAGATAAAAATACTGCCTGGTCAGATGACTATAAGGATTGAATGAGGTAATGTAGATAAAATGCTTAGTGTTATGCCCTTCACAGGTGAAGCCTCAAATCAATACCATTATTACTATAAAGTGAGACCCTACTTTTCCCCGTCTAAGACTCTTTCAGTAGAGTCTCCCATAATGCCCAGAACAATCTCTCACAACAAACACACCTCAAGAATGACCACTTTGGAACCTCCTGCCCAGATTCCTCCTGCCTGGAACTTCATCAGAAGCTTGGGCCATAGCTCAGGGATCTCATAATGCAGCTGATGATCCCTAGCCTCTCCCCTCCACAAAATTACGGACAAGAGTTTGTTAACTGCCACCATGGGTCAAACCACAGGGAGATGATAAGGGAACTGTTGGGAGTGGAGTGTTGAGAAGGCTCAGTGATGCCTTATATTTGCAGTCCTGCCCCAGTTGGGGGACCACAGTGCTTTGAAGACCACAGTCCCTCAGACCCTTAAAGGACAACCCTCTCTCTTCTCATCAGCCCTGCCTCTTCCATCCCATCCCTCAACTCAACCGACATTTACTAAGTGCCAGGCACTACTCCTCATGCTCGGGGGCCCCTGATTCAGTAGGCAAGGGCAATACCAAGTGTAGATCTCAAATGAGGGTGGGGATCCTGGGTGTCCTCTGGAAGGAGCCTGGGGAGAAAGGATGGGCCAGACTTGCTTATGGCTACCCTTAGTGTTTTTGGAGCTCAAGAGAGTTCTATGAGCAAAAATGTCCCGGCTAGCAGGCCACTCACCACATTGGTTTCCTCCATGGTCCTGGCCCATTGCACAGGACTCTATCTGGTGTTCAGATGTTTGGGGAGACTTTTTAGCCACTTCGAGGTTCACGCCTGAGAGCTGGAGGTGCAGCTGCTCCCTGTGGGCAGCCTTGCGGAGCGTGCGGATGGCCTTCCGGAGCCGCTTCTCTGTTCGTTTTATGGTGCAACCGAGATCACAAGATGCTGCAGAAACCAGAGAGAGTGCAGTGGAGGGGAGTTCAGGCTGCCGTACGTGTCTACTGGACTATGTCTAGACTGACTGCAGGGCCTACCAACACTCACAGCCCCCTGCAGACAGCGTGGGGAGAGATGTGGAGCTGGGCACCTAGCAGGCTGGGCAGCGTTTGATTCAAACAGAAATTTGTTGGCCAAAATGGTAGCTTTGAGTTTTGATGAGGCAGATAAAATCATCAGGTTCCAAACCAATTCAGTGTAGTCTGGGGATAAAATCATCAGTTTCCAAACCAATTCAGTGTAGTTTGGGGGTAAACAAACAAACAAACAAAAAAACAGGAGATACTTAAGTGAATGTATGATTTCCCCCCACAAGAATGAGGAAGAGCTAAAGGCAAAGAAGCCGGAGAAAGCTGTAAGAAGCCTGGCACCAGAGACTATTTTCAAACCAACCTGTCACCTCCTTTTGGTTAGTTTCAAGCTCAAACTCAACAGTGATAAACATTTCCTTAGGGGTGCTCGGTCGGCCAGGGCCTCCTGGGACTTGCTTGCCAGAGCTGCATGTAAGGTTTGCGTAGCGGAAGCTCTCTTTTACTGAGCTGTGCTTCTCTGTATGGAGAAACAAAATTATCGGAAGCCAAATCCTGGCAAAGCACTCAGCTGAACATTCGCTCAAACTCTGTAAACATTTCATTAGAACCGCTCTCAGGGGACCAGATGATTAACTCCAGATGCCAAGACACTGCAAGCCCTCAGCCTGGAGCACGATGACATTATAATCTTGAAGAGCCGGTACTGCGTCCTATGTAACTTTACCACTTAGCTCTCGAAACTGATTTTCATGAACAGATACTGGATGTTTCTGAATGACCAGCCACACATGTGGAAGACGGGAACCAGAGGTTGTCTTACCTTCCTGACTCGTGGTTTGCTAAGGTGCATTCATGTTCTCAGGGTTCATTTCTTTAAAGCTGAACTATGATGCCTCAAGCAGGGGCTGAGTCTTCAAGTAAGGAATGAGCATGGGAGTAGAAAGGAAATTAACTCCTGCTTTCAGGCAAACTGACCTTGGAGTAATTCCAACTCAAAAGGAAAGCTGGAAAGCACATCAACAGTGACGACTCATTTTGAAATAACCAGGAGCAATAAATGGCACAAAGAATCAACAGATCCAAACAGTCATGAAGGCACACGGGACGGGAGTGAAGGTGTTATGTAACGCGGGGCTTTGGACATCCTCGTTTCTAACCTTCACTGGTCACTCCATGACTTCCAGTGAATCTTTTGACTAATGATTGTTAACCAGAACCAAAGAGCAGATCCACATACGATCTACACAATGAAGTAATCTCAACTGAACTGATGAATTATCTGTATCATGTTCTTCTCTTAACATTATAAGGATGTTCAAATCAGCAGGTCATCAGGGTCAAAGGAAGGAGAAGGTAAACTAATTTTTCCCTAAAGATCCATCTTACCTTTCAAAAGGCTCACTTCAAATCTCAAACTGAACAGATGTTCATTTTGAACCTCTTTCACTTTCTATTTTCCCATATCTATTTTAAAAAATTTTTATTTTGAAGTAAGCTTAGATGTATAGGAAAGTTTCTGAGAGGGTACTCAGAGTTCTCATATACTCTTCATCCAGTGTTCCCTAATGTTAACATCTTATATTTACATGTATCTTTATCAAAACTAAGAAATTAACATTAGTATAATACCATTAAATGAACTAAAGACCAAATCTATCTTTAAATAATGCTTTCACCCTCCGATTAAAAGTATAAATGCTCACTATTAGGGAATTTGGAAAATTCAGCAGAAAAATTAAAATTACTCATCATCCTTCCACCTAGATTTAACCCACTAATAAGGACATGGTGAATTTTCTTTGTTTTTCTTCTACTTATGCTTTTTTTGCACAGTTTAGGTTGTATTAGATATACAAAATGTGACTCTTTTTTTCATCTTTATTACAAAAACATTTTCTAATGTCATTAAACATTCTTTGAAAACCCATAATTAATAGCTTCATAATATCCCATCAAGAAAACCCATAATTAATAGCTGTGTAATATTCAATCAAATGTTGCTGTTTAGTTGATAAGTTGTGTCCAACTCTGCTACCTCCTGGGCTGTAGCCCAGCCTCCTCTGTCTGTGGGATTTCCCAGGCAAGTATATTGGAGTGGGTTGCCATTTCCTTCTCCAATTCCATCAAATGGAGGTGCCCAAATTAACCTTGGTTAGTTACTTAAAATAGGCAGCCAGATGTGACTACAGTGACTATGCTTTTATTTGTTTGTATGATTTATTTGAGGGTAGACTAGGGAAAGAACCCTCCCTAATACATGAATCCTGATTTTTCTTTTATTCTCTAAAATTATTCTATGAACTAATACTGGAAATGTGAGCTAGGGGAGAAAGAGGAATGTTGGATTCTGCTCTTTCCATAAAGCCAGGTCTACTTGGAAAGTATTTGTTCTGCTGAAGCCAATGGCATCACTGCCTCCAAAGACGAGATCCAGCAGAAAAGCTGGATATGATATTTTTGTTCACCAAAGATGATCCTTTCTGAGCCAAACCTTTTTTCATTTCTTTGGATTGTATTTTAAGCAAATTCTAAGACCTAGAAATTTTAACCCAATATGATCACAAGTTACTAATGCATCTTAAGCCCATATTGATTGCTATTAACTCACAGATTTCCCCAGAGGTTCACCCTCTGTACCCTGCAAAGGAAGCCCTAATGTGTAACCCCAGAGGCGTATGGAGCTGCCAGGCAGGGGTCTTCTTCCTCTTGAGAAGAGAGGCCATGGAGAGTCTGAACCGTAGGATCCCATCTGAAGGGCTCTGCTGGCTACAGATCCCTTCCCCGGCATGCAGACACGCTCCCTGCACCAGCCATCTGATTCCATACCTGGGAGGACTGGTCGCAGACCCTCAGGAAACAGCTCAGCCTTTTTCAAACTACATTTGCCTTCATTTAGCTTAAAGGTTACACTTGTTCTGATGGTGGCGACATCTTCAGAAAGAAACAAGTGAGAGAGGTTACCTTTGGAGGCAAAGGAATGAAAACCCCAGCGGGTAATGGCAAGTTGTCCATTGCTGGAAGCATACCCTGAGCCCCTCTCTTACCCTGAGACCAAGAAAGACTGGGAGCCAGGGGCACCCATGACCCTGGGACGAACGGCACCAAGAGCCTCCTAAGAGTTACACTTGTCCCTTCATCTAAGATGAATCCAGCACTCAAACATAACAAAGGAAGGGCCAGAAACAGCCTCAGCTGTGAGATGAAAAATGAGGTCATTTCTGTGCCTTTCCAAGAAGGAAGGCCAGAATCCCCCAGTTCACATTCGGACAGGACAGTGGAGAAAAAGGGACAGGCAGGTTCTCCTCAATAAGCCTGTCCTGGGAGGACAGAGCCGAGGGAGCCACCATCCCAGACAAGGACGGCACCACTAACCATGGCCAGGACTCTCGGGGTCTGTGGGGGAGCAAGGTCCTACTTTGAGGGCCTCACATAGAACGTCTTGCTCTTCTTCCACAGTCAGTCTTAACCTTGTGTTAGACTCTGGAGCCAACGACCAGGATTCACAATCCAGCCCTTCAATTTGTGATGAGAACTTGAGCAGGTTACTCAGTCTCCCTAAGCCTCAGTGTCCTCATCCATAAAACAGTCCCTACACTACTAAAGCTGTTACGAGAACTAAATGAGGTTATGCAAAACAAAATGTTTAGCCTACTACTGTCTGGTACATAGTAAGAACTGAATAACTGTTAATAATTTGCTTGCCCACCCTTAGAGTGGCCTTAATCTCTAAGTGACACAGACCATAGTGTTCCCTCTGACTGGGTGCAAACATCAGACAAGAGGAGCAGGGAAGGACAGTGCTCAAGACTCTGGATCCAGACTGCCGGGTCAAAATCCTGGCTCCGTTAATGTCCCATCTGACTCACTTTGGATATGTTACTTCACCTCTCTGAACCTCAGTTTCTTCATCTGGTTAATAAAAATAACAGTAAAATAGCCCCAGAGGGCTATAGTGTGGATGGTAATAAATCAGCTCATACATGTTTTAACTGCTCCATCCATTCAAACAAGTTGTTATTATCATGCTTTGAGCCTCTATCTTTGCTTAAACACATGGACATCTAGAACCATTTCCTTAGATATGCTCATGACATCATCACAAACCCATCTAAATCTGGAAGAACAAGGCCTCTGAAAAGCTTTGAAGGTTACTCTTTGTCTTTTGAAAAACCGAAAAGGGTTTGGGCTTCTTTCTCTTGACAGGATCCTTGTTCCCCTGTCACGCTCATGTCCCCACCAATGCCATGCACCCCAAGTACGTGTTTCCTGCTGGGCCTCTGAGGTGCTCTACGGTACGGGGAGCTGGGGAGACCTGAGTCTCCTGGCCCTGGAGCTAAATGGTCCTCTGCCCAATATGATGACCCAGCGGGGCTGCACAGAGCCTCCCAACAGAGTGGACACTCAGTCAGCATCTGCTATGTGGTGAGTCAGATCGCAGGCACCGAGCTGCAGGCAAGAACATCCTGTAACATGCTCGCGGCATCAGAGAGATTAGGAGAAAAGAAAACAAAGCCAACGCCCAAGAACAGCACCCCACAAAAGAAGCCCATTGCACACAGTGAGCCCCAGAGACAACACGCAGATTTGGTAATTACCCCCGAAAGTGGAGTCATTTGATTTTTGCTGTTTGTTCCTGAGAGGAGAGGAAGAGCCGCAGGTGACAGAATAGGCCTCTTGCAGTCCTGACAGACAGAAGGTGGATTGTCAGCATGTGGGCAAGAATACAGTCTCTCCTGCCGGAAGCTCAAGTCCCTTCCTCCCCCAACTCCACGTGAACCACTAGAAAAACCCCCAGAACACAGGGTCTCAGAGCACAGGCCTCCAGGGGTCAGGGAGCAGCTGGTCAAGTACTTGGAAGACCTGTGAGGGCTTCTAACACCTCGAGCCAGGAAGGCCTGGCCCCAGGCCTTGGACCCACTCACCTGGAGAGAGGTGAATGCCAGAGTGACATCTGAGGAAGCACCTGTCTCCTCCACCACTCTTACCGCACTGCAGGGACACGTGGGGTGACAGGCTAGTGGGCAGGCCCCCCTTCACTTCTAGACAGGACAAAATGCAGACACTTACAGAAAGAGAAGGACACTTCGTGGTGAGACCAGGGCAGCTGACTCCCACACACCAAAGACCCGAGCAAAGAAGGCAGCGCTGATGCCCAGCCCAAAACACAGACACCCGCTTATTCCCCACCACCCCCCCGCCCAGGGTAAAGGAGCTTCTGGTTTGCTATTCTTTTCATATGGAAAAGCAACCAACAGAAGTGAGTTCCAACCTACGCTGAAGCACAGAAGGAAACACCAAAGAGCCTGCAAAGTATCTCCTGTTTTTGAACTTTTAAAGATGGGCTGCTGCAGCTGAGGGCAGAAGAGTTCAGTCGAGGACTGGCCGGCACACGCCGGGTCCAGGGGGGCGTGGACAGAACTGCTGGGCTGCTCTGAGCCTCAGCCGCGGGGGCTCTTACCCACACAGTCCTTTTTATTCCAGTGGAGCTTGTACCCAGAGTGGCACTGGCATTCGTAGCTGCCCACAGTGTTCACACAGACCTGCTGACAGCCTCCGTTGTTGACGCTGCACTCGTTGGTGTCTGGGAAGTAAAACACTCTCCTGTCACAGCCGTCTGTCTCTGACCCAGCTGACAGTATCCCTCCATCGAGGAAGAAGCAGGAGGGGAGTCACGTGACTGAAACTCACGAAGGGAACGTGCTGATCACCTTCAGAACATGCACTTGGCACCAGCTGACCCACTCCCCATGCAGTGGATTTCCTGGCAGGAGCCTCACCAGGATGATCTCAAGTTCCGTTCTTGACCAAACAGTTGCCCCAACGAGCACATTGAGAAAGGGTCACACTCTACTCTCAGGGTCCAACTCAGCCACAGCACAGGCTCCCAAGTTAAAACTCCACTGTCTTCCTGAGTTACATCCCAAGGGAGATAGACAGAATGAGGATTCCCCACGTGATAGTTCATAAAGTTGGGGTATAGATAAGAAAAATGCCCATGTGCCACAACTAGAGAGTCTGTGTGCTACAACAAAGACCTGATGCAACTAAATAAATAAATAAATAATAAAATCTTTAAAAACGAAGCAGTTATGCTGTCAAAATTTTGGCATTAAAAACGAAAAATGATGTACACTAATCCCCATCAACCTGAGACTGAGTCCAAGTTGGAAGGTGACTCCAACTAAAACACAGATACATATTCACATTCAGGAAACATTTCCTTGAACTTTCTTGATGGACTGGAGGAGTATGTTTTCAGCCATGGCAGGAATGTGTTGAAAAGGAGAAGAGACACAACAGTATCTATGACAAATCACTACTATCCATTCTTCTTAAGGACATAGGACACAAGGATCAGGTCGGAAATACTTAGACCAGTGGTTCCCATAGCCTCAGATCCCCAAAATTATCTTGGACGTCTAGCCATTTAGAATAAGAATCAGAATCTGCATTCTCAAAGATTGCTAAATGCATCTGATGATTAGAGGGTGCAGAGTGACACCAAATCTGATTTGGGCTATAGGCTACTTGGCCGTAAGGTCATGAGACATCAGATGTTGCTTCACGGGCTCAGAGCAGAGAGATAGGGTCTATGGTCCCACTTCCAGCTGAGAGACCTGCACGAAGACCAACTCAAAGAGCTCGAACCAAGCCCCACAGCCAGCCCCTATGCACAGTAAGACTGTGGAATCAGTTGGTGCGCTGCCAATCCTCTCTGAGGACTCTGACTTTACTATCTGTTGGGAAGTTGCAGCAGACAGTGCATCAGCTCCTGAGAGACTCTCCATTCTCTGAGTACAACAGCATCAACAAAGTCCATAAAGCATTCACTGCTGAAAGAGCTCAGCTCTTCTCTCTGCTCCATTTCACACTTGATGAATTAAAGGCATCAATGTGAGAAGATCTCCCATAGCAGAGGCTTCCCTTGAGTTGAGGGACTCCCTACTACTGTTAAGTGACTAGTATGTCCAGTCCAGCTTCCAAGGTAGAAAAATTGGCCCTGATCTCAGGAAACCTTAGGAGTAAGGCCCAGCCTCATCTGACTCTAGAAAGATTCTGCTCACCTCCACAGTGGGTAAAGCCATAGAGGGTGTACCCTTCGTTGCAAGCACATGTGAAGGTGCCCAGGTGGTTGATGCAGCTGTGGTCACAGGTCCTATCCAGAGAGCATTCATCCACATCTGTAATTGTCAAAGGGAGAGGGGAGCTGAAACTGACTCTGAGGGACAAGCGGAGAGAAAAACATGCTTATAAGAACACTAGTTGCTGACTGACAACAAAAACAACAGAGTGAAGAATTATCTATCAGCTCTCCCTGCTCACTTGTATTAAAGAAAGTGCTGAGCAACTCACAGTAAATATATTCACAGCTAGGACCCTTATTTCCAAGTGCTATTGCAAACTAAAAAGCTCAGTGGGTCTCTCTCACCCATGCTTATTTGCAGGGCTGAGAAATTTAAGATACTAAAATGAAATCAAGTGAAATAACATACCTAAAAGTGAAAAAGAAGTGAAAGTCGCTCAGTCATGTCCAACTGTTTGTGATTGCATGGACTGTAGCCCACGAGGCTCCTCTGTCCATGGAATTCTCCAGGCAAGAATACTGGAGTGGGTTGCCATACCCTCCTCTAGGGGATCTTCCCCACCCAGGGATCGAACCCTGGTCCCCCTCACTGCAGGCAGGTTCTTTACCATCTGAGCCATCAGGGAAGCCCTAACATATCTAAAAATGGTTTGTAAACTATCAAGGTGCTGCCTGTGCATTATTACTATTCTATTACTAACTAGTAAAAGACCCATAGTAATGTTATAAGCTATAGCCAATTAAAAAGAGAAAACACTTGAGCTGGAGATATCTCTTTTGGGTCTAGCCAGAATTTGTTCTTCTGGCCCCAGGAGGCCAGTTGATCCTGAGCTTTAATGCCTTCTGCACTAAAAAAACAAAAAAAAAGCATTAACATTAACATCCTCAGTAATTTTCTATTGCAGATACGATTCTTTTGGCCAATCCTTTGGCTTTGTTCCTCCCTCCTATTTCAGTCCCAGGAGACCCCTCCTTTCCTGGTTCAGCATGGAAGCCTCCTTGGCTTCAGCTGAGGTCATGGGAACTAGCCTCAGGAGGCTACATTTGTTGATCTAATCATTTCTTCTTCCCTGGTCTGTTCACACATCTTTCCCGTACACTGGAATTTCAGTGTTTTGCTTCCTCAACTCTTGGGAAGATTTTAACAGTTATGACTTGTGTCCCCAAATGGACAGACCAGGACCAAGGCAGGACTCAGTGCAAGCCAACTAGACCATTGCTGGATCCCTTTTTCAACACCAACTGAGCCATGAGAAACTTCGTTAATAAAAAGCAAACATTTGGAAGGAACTGGAGGAATGAAAAACATGAAATAAAAAGGGGCAAAATCTTACAAAACCTCTTCATCCATAACTTTTCCCAGAAGTCCTGGAAATTTCTTCAGTAAGTTTGTTCTGTGCAAATATTTGTTCTACCAAGACTGATCAGTGAAAAATGAGAAAAAGTCTATTTGCTCTGTAGCAATTGATGTCATTCTATGAATTCTGTTATTAATATCAGCCAGTTACTGAAAATGTAGGCTTGTTCGGTAGCTAACCTTGGCTGCTCACAAAGGGCTCTTGCTTTGCCCAAAATAATGAGATCACTTTTCTAATTCCTTTTTAATGTGTTTACACTGCTTAAATAGTATTTCTTGCTCTATACATTAAGAAACATCATGTGGAACAGTAAATTTTCTTTCCAAGTCAAACAGAAGAGAATCATGCAGTAGTTATCTAAAATGAACTTGCTGACTTTAAAGGGCGCTAGATGTGAAGAGTTTGACAAATTATGTATCAAGAAGAAAAAACCAAGAGAGAAACTTAAGATTTTAAGACCATAAGATTTTTAAAAAGTAATGTTGCATCTTTATTATTTGAAGTGAAATCAGATTTTTTTTCTGATTTTGATTTAATTCTAGGACTTCTAACAAAATAAGTTAGGCTGTTCTTATTCTCAGAAATGAAATAGGAATAAATGCCAGCACATCTTTCCTATGGGTTTCTTTCTGTATGTCAGTAGGGCATAAAAGGTGCTCATCTGGAAGTATAAAAGATGCCCCCTCAACCCAAAACAGCTTGTCACTGTCCAAAACAATTATTAATATCAGTAACAGCAACCCAGAGAAGTTCCTTTAAAACATCCCTTATATGGGAAGAATGTGTCTGAGAAGGGGTTTGACATCCTGCCCAAGGACTGCCCAGCCTCTCCTCTGCTCAATCCCCTCCCTCAGCCTCTCCTCTGCTCAATCCCCTCCCTCCCTCATTCCCTACCCTTGCCCCAAACACCAAAGGCTGGTCATTCAAACAAGGCCTATAAGAAAGGGACCAATTAGTTGACCCCAACTTTTTCCTGAGAAAAGATATGTTAATTAAATCAACATCTTTTTGCCACCAAATTTTGTTAGGAAATCCATAACACTCAAGGAAGTTTTAGAAAAGGGAAAGTATTCATAATCTCAACCCTAACACAACCCTGCTTGTATTCTGTGATCCATTTCTAGCAGCAAGCTCTGGGCTGTAATCACACCACACAGGTTCTTTGAGGTGTTCTCTAATCATCAACAACTGAATTTCCAAAATTTACCTGTGAGCTACCTCATGTTTTTATTTTACCTAACAGATGAAAAATAGAAGCACAGGCTGGAGGTTGGATTAACAACTCCCTTGAGAAGCCCAGCGAGCCAGTCTTGGCCGGAGCGAAGTTTCATCTTCTCCAAGCCAACCAGTGGCATTGCGGGGCACAGCTACGTTTCAGCACATACCTTGGCAAGACTTCTCATCTGTTAATAATTTAAATCCCTTTTTGCAGCTGCAGTCAAAACTGCCCACGGTGTTTCTGCAGAAATGATCACACCCTCCATTGCGCGTCTGGCACTCATCAATATCTGTAACAGGCAAGCATCGGCAAATCAGACAGCAGTACTTGCCTTGTTAGCCACAAATCCCTGAAGTGCTATTGTGTGTGCTTCATTATTCTCTGAAACAGAAAGAGACCCATAAAAGCATTTAAGGATGTTTACTGATGTTTTCCATCTTACACAACTTCTCTTGCCTGGCTTAACCCGTTTTGAAAGACAAGTGCCTCATCCCCTGGAGAATTTGGACTTACACTGCCCTTCTCTTAACCGGCATTAAGGAAACAAACTAAGGGGAAATGGGGATGCCCTATTACTTTCTCATGCCTGCACTGGTCTCTCAAGATGAGATGGCTTCCTTTCCTATACTTCCGATTCCAGTTTCATGATTCAAACTATAAGAAACCAGAATATTTGTTGTGGCAAATTACATAACGGTTAAATAGCCTCAATGCTTTTAAACGATTTCTGATACTTGATTAATCTTATCTTTTCTCAGTTTCATCTAGTCACTGTTTATCTACTTTTTTTTATCACATTAAAGAACGATGCCTTTGTACTCTTGCCCATGAAATACTAAGTCACTGGGGTCTCTATTCATTACTACATGTTAATGGTACATTCATTAAGTTCTCTGGATAACAATCTTGGCTGTTATTTATGATAGGATGATATTATCTCCTGGAAATGAATGTTTCCGTGAACAACTGCTTTTTTTCTAATAAGGCCACTGCCTGAGATGGATGGTGCCTGTAGAAGCTGACCTTCTCTACAGTTACTGTAATTAAGTCGGTTCTAATTAAGCTTCCTCAATTATAACCTTCTACTAGCCTAGGGAAGAAACGCTTCCTTTTGATCAATATGAATCATAAGCAAATCTGGAGTCGCTCAAGAGGCGTGGAGGGGGAGAACCACCTTTACTCCCCCAGGTCAGCTGCATGGAGAGACCCAGGCTACCTTTACAGGTCTTTCCATCCATCTGGAGCATGAAGCCGACGGGACAACTGCAATGAACCCCTGTCGAAGTATCCTTGCAGGTGCGGTCACAGCCTCCATTGTTGACAGCACACGTTTCTGCCAAGGAGGTAAGAAAGAGGCAGTTAGCTTGGTAGAGAAGTGCTGGCACAGCTGGGAGGAAAGGGACATCTGTGCAGTGGTAATACTTGACAAAAATTCATGAACATCAGGGAGTGTGTGGGGTATTCACAGCCATACCCCAAGTCTCTGCCACCCACAGGTGAATTAGAGGAAGAGCAAGTGCAGCTCCTCCCCATCCCCAATCTACATAAGTGACATCGGGACTTCCCTAGTGGTCCAGTGGCTAAGACTCTGCGCTCCCAATGCAGGGGACCCAGGTTCAATCCCTGGCTGGGGAACTAGATCCCACATGCTATGGCTAAGAGTTCACATGCTGCAACTAAAGATCATGCGTGCTGCAACTAAAAGACCTCACAAGCCACAACTAAGATCCAGAGCAGCCAAATAAATAAGTGACATCTCCCAAGGAAACCTGATAGGATAACGGGGGGACGGACACCCTTGCCAACCTGCTTTCCTCTCTATTGGCAGAAGTGAACACACTAAAAGTTCCTGGCAGGTGTGAAGACGCTAAAAGACGTGAAGACACTAAAGAACTAAATGCTCTTTAGTGAAGACACTAAAGAGGTTGAGTGTGACAAGCTCTTCCAGCAGGCTAGATGTGAATGCAGAGCACAGCCAAGGGGGGATGCTCCTTCCTTTAACCTGAACCCTCTCTGCTCACTGTGTGTTACGGGCAAAGTGACAAAGGGGAAATACCACCCGCCCCAGCCCTTCCCTTCCTGCAGACCAATGACTTCCTCTGGCAACTGCCCAGTAACTCAGATTAGAAGTTTACCTTTCCTTGAAAGGAGAAAGACCTGTTATGGCTATGTGAAAACTCAGCTGCAGTTACCAAATCATATCTGTAGAGATGAGCAACAATAAGGTAACAACCTTTCAGCTCCGCACTAATTCCAAGTAGCACACAAATGCTTTCCAACATTCATTCAACTGTTGGCATTCAGCTACCGGAAACTGACTTTACCGCCAAAACTACCTCTTTGTGAAGCCTTGGAGGGCAAACTTAGTTCTGATTAAATATGACAGAACAAGTATGTTTATCTCTGTTTCCTCTCCAAACCTCACTAAAATGAGAGTAAATAAAATTTTAAGTATAAATCCTTAAAGACAAATAAAATAGAAAACAATAGATGAAAGACGTCAAATCTTCTGGAAGTGCCATTTCAATGGAGGAACGGTAATTAGCAGTTAAACCCTGGCAGTCTGCAGAGAGATGCCAACAGGTGGTCAGCTTGTGTGAGCCACAGAATCCCAGAGGGGCTTGGGAACTGGAAGCACTAAAGTTACTCAAGAGACAGAAGTGAAGACGGAGTTAAAATATGAAGACTGATTTGAGAGTCCGTATAACAAATAAGCCGCCAGATGCCCATCTTAATTCCATAGCCCATAGCTCATCCCTACTCAGGGTAAAGAAGATTAATATATTCTCTGAAAAAAGTCAGACCAGAGAAACCCTGGACTCATGGGCACCAGAAATAGCAAGGGAAGGAAGGGGAGATGCTGTCAGGTGAAAGTCTATACTGTGAAAAGAGCGATCTCTCACTTTCACCCTCTATCCCCTGGCAGCCAAGCCTAAATAACCCCAGCAGGAGACTGAAGGATTCCTCTCCAGTTAAACTGACCTGCCCAAGTAAAAGACTTGCAGATATTGGCATTTGAAGATCTCCAGATGAAATGACTAAGCCACTGCCTAGTCCACCAAGCATAAAGCCCACCAGCTGACAGATTATCCAAGTGGCTTTTCAATATTCCACTTTTAAATGTGAAAAGTCAGCCGAGGATCACCAGACACTTCAGGAAAGCTTCTAGTATGAAACAATACACCAAGTCAAACAAACAAGGGGAAAGGAATCTGGGGAAAACAAAGCTAATACCAGGGAACAACAGAGAAGTTAGAAAATCTTATCATTAATTTCCTCAGGGAGGTAAGAAAACCATCCATGAAATAAGAACAAGTTCCAACAACAAAATACCAAAGTAAAGTTCTTGAAAAATTAAAATATGAAGGCTGAAATATAAAAAGAACCCTATAGAAAGTTTAGGGGAACAAATGAAGGATCTCCTAGGAAGTAAATATCAAGAAGAGAAAAAAGAAGTAAATTTGAGGAGCAAACCAGGAGTTACAATAGTCAACTAATAGGAGTTTCAGAAAGACTGAGAAAAGTAAAGAAAATTATTGAAAGAAAAATAAAAGAAAATTTCTTGGAACCTGGGGATGCGAATGTCCCTCTTATAAAGGCCTACTGAGTGCTCAGTATAACAGGTGAGACAAATCCTTCAGTGGGGGACACTGCTGTGAAATTTCAGATCACCAGGGACAACGCTAAGACCCTGAAAACACCCAGAGAAAAGCTCTTATAGGTTTAACACAAAGAATCAAGAATTAGACTTCTGGAAGGAACACTGAATGTTCAAAACAACAAAGCATTATTCAAAACTCTGACAGAATATTCTTCCCAACTTTGAACTCTATACTAAGCCAAACTCTTAAGAAAGGGGGAAGGTAAACTATAAAGGCATTTTTGGGTGTGAAGAGTTTAAAAAAAAAAATCTCTATCTACCCTTGCAAACTAACAAAACAGAAGCCATGGGACCCAGCAAAGCAGGACTAAGGAGAAGGGAATTTCCAAGTGGGTGCTCCAGGAAAGGCCAAGATGACAGAAATGCAACTGGCCCCGGAGTGAGGCCCCACTGGAGCAGGCTGGAAGCCTCAGAAGGGGCTTTTTTGTAAAAAATGGAATTGGCAAGTTATCTGCTGTATTTGAACACATTGTAAAGGGTTTTAGAGCTCTGCCAGAAATTTGGAAAAAAAAAAAAAGGTAAGAGGTACTAAGAAAACTAGCTTCCCTCACAGCTCAGTTGGTAAAGAATCTGCCCACAATGCAGCAGACCCAGGTTCGATTCCTGGGTTGGGAAGATCCCCTGGAGAAGGAAATGGCAACCCACTTCAGTATTTTTGCCTGGAGAATGCCATGGGCAGAGGAGCCTGGCAGGCTATAGTCCATGGGTTCGCAAAGAGTCGGACACAACTTAGTGACTAAACCACCACCACCACTAAGAAAACAAAGAAAATATAATTACAGTACATTATATAACTCAGCGGTGAATCATATTTAGATATTCATAATACGTAAACACATATGTTGATAAATTACACAAGAATGGTGTAAGATTGAGGGCAGGAAGAGAAGAGTGTGACAGAGGATGAGATGGTTTGATGGCATCATGGACTCAATGGACATGAGTTTGAGCAAACTCTGGGAGATAGTGAAGGACAGGGAAGTCTAGTGTGCTGCAGTTCATGGGGTTGCAAAGAGTCGGACATGACTCAGTGACTGAATAACAACATATTAAGGGTATGGGGAGAGTCTGTGTGTGTATTGGGGAAGGGGGTCAAAAGGGAGCTTAACAACTTAATCCTCTGTGGTAGGAAGTCAAAAACCAATATTTAAAACTGACGCATCAAGGGAATTCCCTGGTGGTCTAGTGCTTAAGACTTCGTGCTCTCATTGCCTAGGATGCAAGTTCGATTACTGGTCAGGGAACTAAGATCCCATGAGCTACGTGATGCAGGGAAAAAAAAAAAACCTGACATCAAGAAATAACTATACACACTTCCCTTTTCAGAAATATGGGGAAGGGTAAGTCAGGAGAAGAAACAACCAGGAGAATTAAAAATTGTGGCCGCTGGCAAATGGCAAGTTATGAGACAAGGAAATGATCTATTTCATTATAAGTACTATTAAATACTAATTAACTTTTTAAGGTTTTAATATTATTCATACATACTGTTCGAAGGCAATTAAAAATAAAAATTTTAATAGGGCAGAGCAGAAAAGAGCTCAGAAATGTCGCCTGCCTGGTAACCAATGGCTGCTTAGTATCTTACCTGACTGTTACATCCAGAAGCTATCAAAAGGTCAGTTTCATTTAGGTCAAGCCAAGCTTTCTCCAGAATAATAACATCAAAGGAGCTGCTTGATTCCCGCCCCCACAGCCAAGGCTGAACGTCTGCTGTCTGTTGTCTCCAGCTCCAGCGGACCTGCTGGCAGACCTCCCTGTATCCCTCAGCCAAGTGCCACTCTTCTCCATTCATCTCTCCTGCCATTAACACGGGCGGAGTCTGAACTAGAAGACTCAGTGGACAAAAACCCAGCCAAAGTGCCATGCTAAGCAGGGGCTGCCCAAAATGCCTCTCTCTTCATAGTTACTCAGAGTGGAGGGGATCTAACATGTACTGACCACCCACTAAGTCCCAGGCAGTGGACTCTGAGCACTTTGGCATATTATTGTCTTAACTGAGCTTCCTGATAGCCCAAAGAGGTCAACTGTATTACATCCATTTTAGAGGAAGACCAGGACACAGTTTGTCCAAGTCCCACGGCAAATTTCAGATGCTAACCAGCTATGCAGATGGCTGGACCAACGTTCTTCCCACCAGACCAGGGGTCCTGGATGGTGACTCAGCAACAGCAACGAGTGGAAAACAGACACACCCCAGCCAGACAGGAGCTGCTGACTCCGGTCCAGCTGGTCCAGGGCACATGGCCCCAGGACTGAGGCCGTAATGGGCCCCAGTACTGAGGCCGTAAGTTGGGGAGGGAAAGGGACAACGCAATGGCTGGGCTGGGTGTGTGTGTGAGGCACCTACCCATGAGCAGCCGCCGTTTCACCCGTTTATCCCCATCTGCCACGGATGTGGCGTTGCTCTCCGTCACCTCCAGGGCAATGTCCTCTCGCTCTGCAAGAGATGCAAAGAGCACAGTTCTCAGACTGAATGAGTCAGATTGTTCATCCCTGGCACAACCACTTCCTTGGAAATCCCAGACATGAGAACAATGTGAGAAATGTGACTCTTTGCTCAATAAAAACATGTTGCAATGAGGCTCTGTGTTACATGGCCACAGAGCCTTAATAGACATTAAATATGAGAAAGAGAGTTTTTTTATTATATTGTACTGACCACAGACCCTGGGGAATGCAATCTTCAGATTCACTTCAGAACCCCTAGTTCAGGATAAAAAGAATCTTGGATCGGGGAACCTCTAAAATGGAGCTAGCAAAGGACACATCGTGATGGGACAGGGCAGGCAACAAGCCATAAGTATGCAACTCTGGCTTCTGCTGACGGCAAAGGCCACCCTGTCATCATGAATGGCTAGCTGTAACTTCGTTTGCCCTGGTCTCTTGGGAGGTATTGTTCCAATCTCCAGAATACCAGCTCCAGGAGCAGCCTAGTCCAGGAGAGGAACAAGGGCTCTCCAAGTTCTCACAGGGAGAAAAGGGCCCCCATTCCAGGTCTGGAGTACTCCCCCTGCCCCATGTGAAGCAGCATGGAACCTGCTTGAAGGCAAATGCACCGGAAACACCCTACCTCTGGTTCTAAACGCTATTAACAATTAGAGTTTGGGTTAGGGTTCGGTTAGTGGCGAGCAGGCTGGGGAAGACCCTAACCCAGTGTTGGGGTCACCATTCACCAAGGCAGCTCCTCCCATCCAAGTGCATCTTGTACTGAGGATGGCAGCTACACTCTGGGCCTTCAGCAGTGTCCTCACAGGAGTGCTGGCATCCACCATTTCCATGGTTACAGGTCACTAGGAGAAAATGAATCAACACATGGAACACTGAGATGTCCACACCTGGGGCTGTGTTTAGTCCGGAATAGCTCTGATTTTCATTCAGGAAGTATTCAGGCACCTAGCATGTACTAGGCACTGTGCATAAAAGAGAGAACCTTGACTCAGTCCATAGCCCTGTCCATGTAAGCAAGCAGTCACAATAAGACTTGTAGAAATGCTGAATGACAGATCTGAGCAACGCTCTATAGGAAGACAGAGATGCGAAGGTGGGGGGAGATTTTCACCATTTAGAGGAAATGATACCAAAAGATTCTAAACTAGTGCTCTGCTCTATCAGAAGAAGTACTAGGACATTTGGAGATGCTATTACATTTTATGTCTGGAACAGATGGTATTTAATTTATATGTATATGTTAGGATTTCTCTCATCAGATTACATCTGATTAGTTAGAAGGGAGGGTAATCAGAGGAAATGATGACTCTTCACACACAGTTAATGCAACATTAACCAATAATTACAAAGACTGTGTATGAACACATTGATAACAAGCCAAGGAGGAGAAGAAAGCCAACCACAAAACTATCTATTCATCAAACTGAACAGTGGTTACCTCTAGCAAAGGAAATGTGAGGGGGGAAGGTTATATGTTTCTTTGGACTCTTTAAATTCTTATACAATCATTTTTAATTTTTTAATTTAAAAGAACTAAAACTATATTTGCACTGTGACAAAGAAAATGTTCTGTGATTATAGCTGTGTAAAAATTGCTTATGCATATCAACAACTAAATAGGAATATGAGAAAAGCAAAACAGCTGGATTATGTGATGGAATTCTGGATTTTTTTTTTGTTATTTCAAGTTTTATAATATCATCTGAATATAATCTTATGGTATTATTTGAGCAATGATATCTTTAAAACATTTTAAATCTTTAAAAATAAGCTCTTATGTACTCTACTGGCTCCTGAAAGGCTGTAAAATGCTGAATCTCATCCACAGGTGAGTCTCCTGCAGAGACCTGGGTCCTCTTTTTGAAGACAGCTGTAGCCAGTCCCACTTTTAGGGGCCTATGAGGCTGTCAGAACTTGCTGATGGTGATGGTGGCATCAGCCCTAGTTTGTCAGGCTATGAAGCTGTGCTCTGCTTTGTGATGGAGATACCAGAGAGAAGTCTTTCACCAGCAAAACTGTCTCTCCATCTCTTTTTTTTAAAAAATATTTTATTTGGCTGCACCAGGTCTTAGTAGCGGCATGTGGGATCTAGTTCCCCAACCAGGAATCAAACCTGGGCCCCCTGCATTGGGAGTGTGGAGTTTCAGCCACTGGACCACCAGGGAAGTCCCTGTCTCTCCCTCTCTTAACCACGGAGGTCTACTCACTGTAAACAACCAACCCTAGCAAACTGTGGGCATCTTCTAAAAGGTCCATGACTTTAGGCATGCTGCGTGCATGCTCAGTCACTTCAATCATGTCCATCTCTTTTCAACCCTATGGACTGTAGCCTGCCAGGCTCCTCTGTCCAAGGGATTCTCCAGGCAAGAATACTGGAGTGGGTTGCCACGCTCTTCTCCAGGGGATCTTCCTGACCCAGGGACCGAATCTGTGACTCTTGCATCTCCTGCATTTGCAGACAGATTCTTTACCCACTGAGCAACCTGAGAAACCCCAAAATGTAACAGAGGTGCATGTTCACTCAGTCATGTTCAACTCTTTGAGACCCCATGGACTGCATCCCACCAGGCTCCTCTATGGAATTTTCCAAGCAAGAATATTGGAGTGGGTTGCCATTTCCTCCTCCAGGGATGGAACCCACATCTCATGTGTCTCCTGCATTAGCAGGTGGGTTCTTTACCAGCTGAACCACCATGGAAGCCCAATGACTTTGGGAAGAGTTCCTAAAAGGAAACCCTCAGTGTTTCCTCTGGTATAAATAATGGTTTAGAAACACCTTTAAAGCTGGTGGTTTCCTGTTATCCGTTGGAGCTATTATTGTGTTGCTTCATCCCGAGGCAGCTGCACCTGGACTGTGTACACCATTTACTGACTCATCCATTACACAAATGTGTATTGAACACATCCAGGATAAGACCAAGAGGCAAAAGTAAGACAAAATCCCTGACTTGGAGAGGTTCATAGCTGGGGAAACAAACACATAAACATAGAATTCAACCCACAGAGCCATGTGCTATAATTGAGGAATAAACAACACTGTGAGAGCCAAAATACAAACTGGCTGCCTTGTCTGAGGCCATCGGGAAATGCTTCTGAGGTCATGTAGCATGGTGATCAGGAGCACAAGCCTTACAATTAGGCTAGACTTACATGTGGATCCTACATTTGCCACTTGCTCCCTCTGTGACCTTATAACTTTACCTTCTCCACAATTTTCTCAACTTGGCTCATAAGCTGATGCCTGTAAGAATTAAATGGGATACAGTACCTCTTTAGATAAGCCTTTGCACATAATTAATGCTCTCCCAAAGTACCTATTATCTTTATCATTATTAGAAGTTATGCAGGATATTAAAAATTGAGTTAGGACTTTTCTGGTGGTACAGTGGATAAGAATCCGCCTGCCAATGTAGGGGACACAAGTTCGATTCCTGGTCTGGAAAGATCCCACATGCACTTAAGCCCATGGTGCTGCAACTACTGAAGGCTGTGCACCCTGGAGCCCAGTGCTCTACAACAAGAGAAGCAATGAGAAGCCGGAGCACCACAAAGAAGAGTTAGCCCCTGCTCGTCACAACTAGAGAAAGCCCACACAAAGCAATGAAGACCATGCACAGCCAAAAATAAGTAAATAAACATTGAGTGAGAATTCACCAAGCCAGGAAGGGAAGAAGGCTTGGAAAAACCTTGAAAGCATGAAAGAATGGGAACCGTCCTCCAAAAGCAAGGAATTTGGTGTTTGGAGAAAGGAGGTCGATGAGGTTTGTACAAGAAGAAGGAAACGGGTATTGAAGAGTTGCCAAATGAGGAAATTTGATTTTATTCCGTGGAAAGAGGGAGACCTGTCCCCCAGCTTTCACATTCCTCACTCCTGAGTGTGAGCTCCTTCTGACTGGTCCCTTTAGAAACATCATTTTCCTTCCCTACAGGAGACTATTCTCTGTATCTCATGCCAGCTGCCTTCCCTATGTTTCTGATGCTGGGCTGCACAAGACAACCTCTGGGGTAGGATGGCTCATGGTTCCCAGAGCGCGGGCAGGAGTAGGGTACCAGTCTGTACTTACAGATGCAGTCTCTCTGGTTCTTGGCCAGCTCAAAGCCTGGCCTGCACTCGCAGGCAACACTGCCCTTCGGAGCCTCCTTGCAGATGTGACTACAGCCGTGATTCTTATTCATGCAGCTCAGACCCTCTGCAAAACAGCAGCATGCAGCCAATGACCAGGTTGCATCAGAATCCAGAGCCCCGGAGTGTCTGGAGGGGCTGGCAGGCCGGCCACAGACCTGCCTGCCTGGTGTCCATCAGCCCCATGTTTTAGAAGAATATGTCATTCATATCAAGCCAGTTAACAGAGATGTGAAAATTTTCTTATGTCACCCAAAAGATAAGATGTTTCAATTCTCCAACAGGGATAGGAACCCACTCAATACACTGAGAAGAAAGTACCCACCAGAAGGGAATTCCCTCACAGTCCAGTGGTTAGGACTCCACGCTTTCACTGCAGAGGGACTGGGTTCAATCCCTCATCAGGGAACTAAGATCCCACATGGTGTGATCAAAAAATTAAAAAAAATAAGTACCACTAAGAACTCTCTGTTGGGTGTGGAATCAGAACCTGTGGAACCCAGGAACTTGTCCTCAGACTCTTATCTCTGCCATGTTGTTACCCATACTGATCAAGAATGCAAACAGAAAAGGAGAATCTCTCTACAAAAATCTGCAGATAGACAGGTGAAGATTCTCAACCGTTTCACATATTCTTTTCGGGGGGCAGGCAAGCAACATGCTCTGTAGCGTGTGGGATCTTAGGTCCCTGACCAGGGATTGAACCCAAGCCCCCTGCATTTGGAGCACAGAGTCTTAACCACTGGACCACCAGGGAAGTCCTCCTTTTCATATATTCTCAAAGATGAGTTTCAGAAAATTTCAACCCTCCTCTCTACCCTCACCAAATCCACACTCTGGAGACGACTGTGACTACTTCTGTATTTTGGCATCACCCTATGGACACCTGTCCAGGGACCTCTCTTATGTGACCACCTTCAGATAGTTCCTGGGCCCTCAGCAGGCTCAGCGTTCAACAGCAGAAAGAAAAGAGAGAGAGAACTCATATATGTGGTTTCCTTGAGCTGCTATAAAATCCTTCCCAGGTAAACTGTAATTTTCATTAGGCCTGATATTGTGGTAAATGTGGTGGGAAGGGAGTTATTTTCCTAGATGGTTCAGCATGCATCTGTCTAATTGATGGGGTCACAGAAAAGCAGACATCTGTGTGGTTTGCCAGCATCATGCCTCTTCTCAATACCAATTCTTTAGGATCCTGCGACCTCCTAGTACTCTGCAGGAACTGTTATCATACCCAAGAGCATTCTCAAAACCTCTCCCTGGTTTGCACAACATTAATAGGCATGTCATATCTTTTTTGCCTGTTCATACTGTTCATGGCGTTCAGTGAGAGACTATTTTCTTGGGCCCCAAAATCACTGCAGATGGTAACCACAGCCATGAAATTAAAAGATGCCTTCTCCTTGGAAGAAAAGCTACGACCAACTTAGACAGCATATTAAAAAGCAGAGACATTAATTTATCGACAAAGGTCCGTCTAGTCAAAGCTATGGTTTTTCCAGTAGTCATGTATGGATGTGGGAATTGGACCATAAAGAAAGCTGAGCACCGAAGAATTTATGAACTGTGGTGTTGGAGAAGACTCTTGAGAGTCCCTTGGACTGCAAGGAGATCCAACCAGTCAACCCTAAAGGAAATCATTCCCGAATATTCATTGGAAGGACTGATGCTGAAGCTGAAGCTCCAATACTTTGGCCACCTGATGCGAAGAATTGACTCACTAGAAAAGACCCTGATGCTAGGAAAGATTGAAGGCAGGAGGAGAAGGGAACAACAGAGGATGAGATGGTTGGGTAGCATCACCGACTAGATGGACATCAGTTTGAGCAAGCTCCAGGAGTCCATGATGGCCAGGGAAGCCTGGAGTGCTGCAGCCCATTGGGTTGCAAAGAGTTGGACATGACTGAGGACTGAACTTAACTAAATAGGTATGTATTCATATGATGCTTTTTTGCATTTGTGCAATGTAACTCTAAAACATTTTTAAGAGTAGGGATTTTGTTCTCATTGATTCTCCGCTGACAAGACATTGTCAACACTGGAAGTGGCACTCTTTTAACATGAGTATAAAAAGCTTTCATTCGACTTCTCCAGGATCCAATACTGCTCTATATTGTGCCCCTAAAACCTTAGCCAGTTGGTTCTAATGAAGTCAAAAGTCATTTCTCTCCAATTCTCACCATGGGACCCATGGATCTATGCTTAATGGGAATGATTGTTTTAATACAAACAGATGTCATTTCTATTCCAAAAGAGAGGGCAACAGCTAATACATCCCACATTCTCTTAAAACCTTCTTGTTTTTTATCTGACAGTTACGAGCTGTTTGAGCTCCAGCACTCAATCTGCTGGAGGTGGTTGGGATCCATTCACCCGTGCCAAGGGCTGCTGTCAATTAACACAGAAAGAGGCTTGCACCAGGTCGGAGAGGAGCTCTCTCTTGGCTTGGGCTAGTGATTTCTGAAGACAGTATTTGCTCCCAGTACTAAGATGGCACGGGAGGTGGGAGATGCCTCCAGGAAGCGTCCTGTCCTCCTAAGAATTACATTACAGTTGTTCTTGGATTAGCAGGGCATTTACAATAACAGCCTCCAGGAGCATCTAGGGCTAAACGTAACAGTGCCCAAGAAAAGGCAGCAGTAGAAACATCATTTTCCTTCCCTACGGGAGACTATCCTCCACATCTCATGCCGGCTGCTTCCCGATGTTTCTGATGCTGGGCTGCACAAGATGGTTCCCAGGGTTGGGAGTAGGGGGATGCACCCCAAAGTACACTCCCATACAAATCAACTGCTGCTGCTTCTTTTTCTTTTTCATTCTGTTTACAAGTCTGTTAAGATGTTTGCAAAGTGACCTTTACTGCTTCTCAGAGCAATTCATTTGCACAAGAAATATTTTGTAAGAACTGACTGTGCACCAGATACCATGGGGATGCACAAAGAAGCTGCCCCCTGATGTCACATCATATCAAGCAAGACCTAAAGTTACCAGAAGACACTGAAAGTTTAAATGACTCTGGAAATGCTAAGGGCTTTTTAAGAGGGGCCCCCGCAGCTTTTCAGAGTACCCTGACCCAAAACAAGGCCACTGCTAGGGCAGGCAGATGGACTGGTCCAAACTGGGGGAGCCAGCTAGGGTCCTGGCTGTCCCAGAAACTGCCTGGACAGTTATGTTTAGGATTGTTCGTTCACCAGGAAGGAAACAGCTCAGAAACCTGAGAAATATCCCATTCTGGGGGACCCCTGGCCCAGGGTCTCACTGAAGTATATTATTGGGAACTGAATAAAAATAAGCCTTGCAAATAGGGCAAGAAAAGGAAGAAACAGACCCTGCTAACAGCACAACCCCTTACTCACTAACCTGCCACCTTGCCCACTACTCTAAAAAGGCAGTGGTACAAACATCCAGAAATATTCTCAGAGAGGACAAAACAAAAGAGGAATGCTCATTTTGAGAGCCTGAGCACCCATGAATAGGGACAAAGGCAGGCTGGGGCCGTGTCTCTCTCTCCAGCCTACCCCCATTACATGGGTGAAAACACACAGTCTCTTTACCAGAACTTTGGGGTCTCTAAGGATGAAAAAAAAAACACAAATAGCTTGGGTTTCTCTTGGAATTAACTAGTATGATCCCTTATATTAAAGAACATTTAGTATATAATTAATAACATCGGCGACTCTAGAAAATATTAGCTTGCAGTATTTCTTTCAACCATTTTTAAAGGATCAGCTGTGGGTTTTAAAGTCTATTTTAATATAGATTCTAAGAGTTTAACATGCACTTCAAGGAGGGCATCCTAGAGGAATACTGTTTAGAGCTGGCTCTATTTGGAGAGTTAAAACCCTACAATGGAAGTGGGCAGCTGAAAGCGGCTCTAATATGTGGGCTCACGCCACCGCGAATTCACCCAGCATCCAGGTTAAAACACAACAGAAAACCACAGAGTGCTTCCAGACCACAGCCCCAAACAAATATGCTCATTTTAAATACTCTTCAGGGGTTCTAAGAATGTCTGAATCGTAAAGAATTCAGAAAACACAGATTGTGGAAAGGAACTGCTCTTATGGTCTTGCATCTGAGGAGCCTGTGTCTGTAATCAGTCTGGGGGACTTGGGGACAGGAGAAGGGGCTGAATCACTTTGGAGGAGCGAGGGTGAGAGAAGGTCTTAATCACTGCCAGTGGCTTCACGAGAGGTGGGACCCATACTGGGGGTGTTCAAGCACAGCTCTGCCTACAGGACCACGAGCTCTACCTCCCCGCCACCTGAAGACGAAGCCAGAGGGACTTTCCAGGAAGCATCTTTGAGCAGCCAAAGGGGAGGGGCCCTGAGATCAGGATCATTCTCGTGCTGCTGGCATCTTAATTCAGCCTCAGACCCGAGGCACAGCTCAAGGAAGAGTGCAAAGAACCCCTCAGGAAAATGAAAATCAAACCTGCTACTGAGTCAAGGGCCACGCCTGCATGAGCTAAGAGATCACCTGATGAGAGCCAGGGGCTATGAGTAACCAGCTCACACTCTGACAGCAAGCAGCAGGGGGATAAGAGCATCCGACTCCCCATTTCTCTGACTCCTCTTCTTAACACCCAAACAGGCCTGCTGGTGAGGGCTAAGGAAGGAGCCATCATTCTTGGAAAATGAGGCAAAAATCATCTTCCACAAAGAAGCCCTTGAAAAATCACTAAAACCACCACAATTAAAATAATAAATCTGTAAATCCTGAGATTAAATAGTAGAAAAACTATTAGAAAACAGTAGAAAATCACTTCATTTTAACTTATGAGGCTGAACAAGCAGCACAAAGGAGTTATCAGTCTAGTGTTTAGGGCACTTCCCTTAAAAACAGGCACGCGCAACCATGGGAGACATACAGCCATCAAAGTGTGGTTCTTTGGCTTAAGAAAGAGCACGGAAGAATTAAAAGCACATCACTGACTTAAAAATGGTTGACTGGCCACAAGAACTTAATGCCTCTCCCTCCCGAGAATCCACTGAACTAACAGAAAAATAAAATAGGTAAAAACACAAAGCAGAGAGAACAAAAGCCATCAGAGGAGAGGAGTTTTCTGCAAATTTATGGCAAAATGGTGAACGGCAATACGGGTGAGGGAAACCCTAAAATAGAGCCCCCCGCAGCCTGGGGAAGGGGCCCACCTGCCCCCTGGAATCCCAGAGGTCAGAGTCCAAAAATAGAAAATACAGGGAAGGCCCACTCTTGCTGAAAACAGGGCAGTTTACTGAGTCTCCACAGGAAGGCTCCAGCCCCCTCCCTCCCTCCTCACTAAGAGCAGGCTCACACTTGGTGCTGTGATTTGCAGCACCTTTTTCAAAAACTTGGCAGATCATCATTTCTCCTAAGACATCGTCATGTTTGAAATGTGCTCTATTTAGAGATTAGAATCAGCAACTGTGAGAGTCTGAAGAGACCTCAGAACTCACCCAGACCAACTCCCTCATTTTGCCAGGTGAGGAAGGTGAAGCTGAAATACCCTGCCCACTCATCCTCAGGCCTCCAGGCTTTATGCATGGTGTGCTTTCCCTCTAGAGTCTCTTGGGGGGTAGGGGGACTCTCAGATGTGACCCTGCCCCTCTCCCCGCCTCCCCCCAGCCGAGCAGAGATACCTTCTGAGCGGTGAATGCACGTGTGCTGATTGTCACTCAGGAAAAAGCCCTCCTTGCAGCGACACTCGTAGCTCCCCATGACGTTGACGCAGGTGTGCTGGCAGCCACCGTTGTTCTCCAGGCACTCGTCCACGTCTGCAGGGGGAGAAGGCTGAGCCTTTGCCTGTGGGGCTGCTTCACACACACTCCCAGCCCCCACCCTCCTCCCCACCCCACTGCCCAGCAGCTCAGGGGCTCCTGCTAAGCAGAGACGAGGTCCCTCTTCAGGACCTTGTGTCACAGAAGCTCTCAGAATTGAAGCCAGTGGGACTGCAGGTAATTAACTCCAGCCCTCACAGGTCTGTGGCTCCCTTAGATAGGCCCTCCACCTGGACACAAGGTAATCAGTCCAGTAAGTATTTACCTTCTCTTTCCAAAGCTCAGTGCTAGAGGAGACAATAAAACACAGATGAGTAAGATGCAATTCCCTGGCTCTAGGAGCATCCCCTTCAGCAAAGGAAAAGAGACACTGTACTAGTAATGGTGAGGTAAGGTAAATGGTGGTACAGAGGACGGAGGTCACATCTGGCTGTGGGTATCAGGATGGGTTCTTTGGAAAAGCTGATGAAGGCATAAGCCTTGCAGTCTTTCTTCAATGAGAAATCAGGAGAAGGGACTGGAGGCAGAAGAAAGGGCATGCGTGTAACAGGAAGGCTGGGGGACATGGAGTCTGTTCAAATAACTGTGGGTCATTCAATTTGACTGAAGCATGGTACAGGTAGGGAAGTTACAGGAGACAGAACTGGGAAAAAAATTGGGGTCACACTGAAGAGGACCTTAAATACCAGGCGAAGAAGTTCCTACTTCACCAGAGAGGCAACTGGAAATCACAGGAGCTGGGATGACAACAGTCAGCCCCTCATGTTGGTAAGGCTAAGACAGCACTGGGGGAAGGACACAGGGAAAGGAAGAATTGAAACCTGGGAGTCCAGCTTCAACCATGTGCCTGAAATAGCCATGGCTGGTGCCAGAGGGGACCTGACCTGGGCCCTGGCAGTGGGGATGCCTGTTGCTGTTCAGTCACTCAGTCGTGTCCGACTCTCTGCGACCCCATGGACTGCAGCACATCAGGCTTCCCTGTCCTTCACTATCTGCTGGAGTTTGCTTAAACTCATGCCCTCTGAGTTGGTGACCTAAAGGAAATCAACCCTGAATATTCACTGGAAGGACTGATGCTGAAGCTCCAATACTTTAGCTGCCTGATGCGAAGAGTCAACTCACTGGAAAAGACCCTGATGCTGGGAAAGATTGAGGGCAGGAGGAGAAGGGGACAACAGAGGGGATGCCTAGGATGGAAGAAATAAAAGAGAACTGTGGACAAGGTGTCATGTGGACATAGGGTGAGGTGGCTGAGAAACATGAGGAAGAACTGGGGCTGGAGATTGGTTGGTCCCCAGCAGGGCAGGGAGGTGATACATGTGAGATGCTGACATCCAGGGCTAGATCCAGTAGGCTGCGGGAAACCTGAGCCTGGTGTGAAGACAGCTCTGAAAACCACTTACTTGTGGTGTCCTGATAAAATGCTGGAGGCAGCTGAGAAAGTCAAACACAGGAGTGTAGGCAGGGAAAAAGGCAAGGAGAGAGAGGAGATGGCCAGAGGAAGAATCTGGAGAATACTGAGGGTAGCAGGATGAGAGAGCAGGAGCCCCAATAAAGAAGGCATCAGCATGGAGGGAGGGAGCCTTGCCCCAGTGCTATGGCCCCATGGCAAGGCTAGAGGACCTTTCTTCCACTGAGTCACACATACTCCTGTACACTCCATCAATGCACTTACTGCTATGCAGTCTCAAAATCTTTTTTTTTAATTTGTACCTTTTGACTCCTCAAAATTGCTTATTTATCCATCTCCGCTAGATTGCAAACTCCTTGAAGACAGATTTTTTTAAAAGTATATTTAGCATAGCCCTGTAACCTGCAGGCACATATTAACTCTTCAATGCATGAACAAACAAGAAGAAGAGCATAGCATCATCAGAGCTAAAGAAGAGGAAACTTCCAGAAACATCTCAGATCTGATAGAGGCTCGAGGAGAAGGCTAATGTAAAAAGCTATTTATTTTCTCCAGCCCTGATTTCCCATGTGCCTATCACTAGCTCCTGAGGGCATCTGTAACAAGAACATTCACATTTAAATATCTGTTATCTGGTTTCAAGCTTCAGATCTCACAGTCATCCATCCTCCCACACTACCCAGCAGATGCCTTTCTAAACTGATGGGACTCCAGCCATCCCCTGAAGCCTAACAAACTTGCCCTTCTCCGTGCCAAAGGGTTAAGGGAGCACATTCCGGAGGGTGAGAGACGCTGGGACACACCTGGCCCGGCTGTTCCTGCCGAGAGGACCGGGGTGAACAGGAGCAATCTGCCTCTCTGGACACCCGCACCTGGCCCGGCTCTGAGTTGCCCCACCCTACCCCATGCTTCACCCACTATTCCTTTTCTCCAAAGCAATCAGAAATTATCAAGTTGGATGATGCACTCAGATTAAAGTGAAAGTCGCTCAGTCGTGTCCAACTCTAGGCAACCCCATGGGCTATACAGTCCATGGAATTCTCTAGGTCAGAATACTAGAGTAGGTAGTCTTTCCCTTCTCCAGGGCATCTCCCCAACCCAGGGATCGAACCCAGGTCTCCGACATTGCAGGTGGATTCTTTACCAGCTGAGCCACAATGGAAGCCCAAGAACACTGGAGTAGGTAGCCTTTCCCTTCTCCAGGGCATCTCCCCAACCCAGGGATCGAACCCAGGTCTCCGACATTGCAGGTGGATTCTTTACCAGCTGAGCCACAATGGAAGCCCAAGAACACTGGAGTAGGTAGCCTTTCCCTTCTCCAGGGCATCTTCCCAACCCAGGGATTGAACCCAGGTCTGCCGCACTGCAGTTGGATTCTTTACCAACTGAGCTATCAGGGAATGAATGAATACAAACGTTCACGTGCACACTAGGCTGGTGAGTTTCTGTAGAGCATAAAGCAGTGTTTCACAACCTGGCTGCAGGTTAGAACGCTGACATCCAGACCACACTGGTCTAACTAGCCTTGGATGAGACCTGGTGTCATTTTAAACTTCTCAAGTGATGCTAATAGGCTACAAGACCTAGTAGCTATTCCGTGCTCCCAGATATTCAATAAACAGAAATGGAATTCAGGTTGGGTGAGCTGTCTGGAAGAGCTACATTTTGTTTTTCAGGCTCACAGGCACCCAAGATCCTGGAGCAAGCTGGGTAGAGAGCCAGAACTCAGTGCTGTTTGTCCTCTGCATATCCTGGCTCATATATGGGCAGCTGGTGTAAGGTCAGGGGCTGAGGAGAGGTAGGGGCCATCCAAGAGAACACAGGAAACTGCCACTCCTAAATTTTGATCCTAAGCTCCTTTCCTGTCACAAAATGCTTCTGCTCTTTTGAGTCCAAATGGCAGAGAGGTTTCTCTGTGTGCTGGCCCCGCTCTTCACGTATCACTGTACTTCCTCTCGCCTTCCGTTTCATGGAATCCTGAGCCCCTTCAGAGGTACTCAGGATGCTCAGGGCCTTTCTGCAAGGCAGACTCTTGCTACCAAACCCAGAAAGAGACCCCAGAGAGGGGGAAATGGAAACAGACTGCTGAAATATCTGAGTTAGCAGCCAGGCAAGGAAGGACTTGGGGCCTCGGGATTTCTGAGCAGGCTTTTACTCCAAATGACCCCACCCAAGGTCCTTAGACCTTAACTCCTGGATGGTTCTGCGTGTTGTTCTTTAGAAGTTCACACGTCCCCCAGGCTGTGAGTTTGGGCACAACTGTGATCAATGGGTCTTCCATCAACTACAGATCCTCAACATGCCATTGGCTAATCAAAGGGAAATAAGTGATTTCCCCCAGAAAATGTTTGTTTTTTTTAAACATACTGTAAATTACACACTAAATATAATTTCTTTTTTTTTTTTTTTTAGTTTTTAATTAATCTCAATTTATTGCTGCTCTCAGGATTGTGTCTCTAATGTGTCTTTTTGTGGTGCTGATGACCTAGAAAGTTGCAGAGGGGTTAGTGACTCCCAGCCCTCAATCTCTTCTCCCTGAGAGCTGCAGGCTTGGAAGGCCAAGTGGTCTAACCAGTGCTGGGCCTCTCATACCACACACAGGCAGGAAGGGAATGAGTCAACATCAGGATGGGGCTCCAGGTGACATGACAAAGGTTATATCAGGCCTGAGTCCCAAATACTCTCCTTCCCCCAACACTCAAAATATAAGTTCGGCCTATACTCACTTAGTGACTTTTATGGCTTCCCCAGTGGCTCAGTCAGTAAAGAAACTGCCTGCAGTACAGTAGACTGCCTGTAATGCAGGAGACAGACACCGGTTTGATCCCTGGGTTGGGAAGATCCCCTAGAGAAGGAAATGGCAACTCACTTCAGCATTCTTGCCTGGGAAATCCCACGGACAGAGGAGCCTGGCAGGCTACAATCCACGGGATCATGGGATCGCAAGAGTCAGACTTAACTTAGTGACTAAGTCACCACCATCACCATGCTCATCTCAAAGCATTTGATCAAGTGGCCATTTCCACTGCACAGCAAGGGAGCATCTGAATTAGCTGTCCCTGCAGAGGTGGGGCCTGGCTCAAGCTTCTCTTGGTTAGCCAAATAGACATCAGTGGGTCAACCACACGAAGGATTGATGCCAGAAGAATCTGATGTCCTCTGAGTCCCATGATGTCCTTCTGTACCACTGCTAACATCAGCCTTCAAGTGCAAATAGGCCATAAACACTTTCCTTCAGGTGTGCCACATCTTCTAAGACCATCCAACATTCAGCCCTATCCAACTGCTTGCTATTTTTAAATTGTTTTATTCCTAGCATAAGGAACCAATGTAAACAATGCTCTTTGCAGTTCCTAACTCAGAGACTGAAACTCTAACAGATGTTTTTGGTTTGTGGGGTACTAGGAGGATGTTAATGGAAGGTTTCTGTTTGAATTTCTCTCTCTTTTAAGAAAAAAGAGGGGAGTCTATCTGGCTGAGATCCAAGCACACATGTGGAATATTTACGACAAATAGTTTTACATGATTCTGGAATAGAGATATTTACAGGATTAAAGAAATAGCTTTAAGTCAAGACCCTTTTAACACAAGACTAAAGATCTTAAAAGTAACAAGTCAATGCCAGAAAGTCAATAAGTACTAATGACCTCCTTGGGCAATGGAGGGTTTATATTATGAATGACCACATAAAAACTAAAATACTTACCCTGGTTTTCTATTAGGGAGCATGATTTCTGGGGAGCCAGAAAACACAAGTTTCTGATCCCAGTTTTCTTTTAATGAATATGTTTTTGTCAAAGAAAAGATAGGGGTGGGGTGCTAGAGAGGAGGTAAATGATAATTACCATCTCTACCCATTTTTCTTACCGAGACAATTATGACCATCATGAGCCAACATGAAGCCATCGAAACAAATGCAGCGATAATTGCCAGGAATATTCAGACAGTCATGGACACAGCCTCCATTGAGCTCATTTCCACATTCATCAATATCTGAGGAGCAAAACAGAAGTAAGCCACATAGGCACTATTGCTTTAGTGTGGAGAAATATATATTTACCTTTAAACCAGCCATCCCACCTCTAGGAATCTCCAACAACAGTAAAATTAATATACATAAGGTTATTCACTGCAGACTTTATAATTACAAAATACTGGGAAAAACCTAAATGTCCATAACAAGTAGTTTAAGAATTAAGGTACGTTTACTTGGTGGAATACTATGCAGCTGTTAAAAAGAAACAATGGGAAAAATCTCTACAAACTGATTTGGAGTGATTTTTAGAATATACTAATGGGTAAAAAAAAAATCAAAATGCATAAGATTATTTGTCATATGTTATCTTCATGTAAAAAATAAGGAGATAGATATAAATACACATAAAATTCCAATGTGCTTTTTTTTTTGCAACATTAGCTTACTTTAAAATTTACATGGAAATGCAAAAGACTCAAGAGTTAAAAAGAAAACATATTTGGAGGATTTTCACTTACTATAAAGCTACAATTATCAAGACAGTGTGTGGTACTGGCATAGAGGCAGGCAAACAGATCACTAGAACAGAATCAAGAGTCTAGAAATAAACCTTGTATTTATGGTCACTTGATTTTAGACAAAAATGCTAAGGCAATTTATTGGGAGAAATGATAGTTTTTTTAACAAATGGTGCTGAGACAACTGGATATCCATATGAAAAAAAGATTCATTTAGGCCCTTATCTCATATCATACACAAAAGTCACAAAATGCATCAGAGACCTAAATGTAAGAGCTAGAACTAGAAAATTTTTAGGAGAAAAAATATAAAGGTTTTATGAGAAAATCTTTGAGACCTTCAGTTAGGTAAAGATTTTTTTAGATACAACATCATATATAACACAAAACACAAAATCCATAAATTTAAAAATTAATAAATTGGACTTTGTGGAAATTTTAAACTTTTACATTTCAAAAGATATCATTAAGAAAATGAAGAGAAGCCACAAATTGATAGATAATATTTGCAAATCACATACCTCATAAAAGACTCTTATAATTCAATAAGACAAACAACCCAATTTTAGAATGGGCAAGAGATCTGAATAGACATTTTACCAAAGACAATATACTGACTCAGATGATAAAGAATCTGCCTGCAATGCAGGAGACCTAGCTTTGATCCCTGGGTTGGGAAGATCCACTGGAGAAGGAAATGGCAACCCACTCCAGTATTCTTGCTTAGAGAAATCCATGGACAGAAGAGTCTGGTGGGCTACAATCTATGGGGTCACAAAGAGTTGGACACTACTGAGTGACTAACACTCTACTCCAACACAATAAGTACATTAAAAAAAAGTACATCATTAGTTCTTTGAGAAATTCAAATTATAATCATGAGATACCATTCCACACTCCCTAGACAGTTATAATAAAAAAAGACAGACAGGGACTTCTCCGGTGGTATAGTGGATAAGAATCTGCCTGCCAATGTAGGGACATGGGTTTGACCCCTGGTTTGGGAAGATCCCACATGACATAGGGCAACTAAGCCCATGTGCTACCACTACTGAGCCCCTGTTCTGCAGCTAATGAAGCCTGTGCACCTACAGCCTCTGCTGAGCAACAAGAGAAGTCAGCCACGACCAGAAGCCCACGCGCCGAAACGAGAAAGGAGCCCCTACTCGCCGCAGAGAAGGCCCATGCAAAGCAAAGAGGACCCAGCACAGCCAAAAATCAATAATGAATTTTTAAAAAGAAAGACAATGTCAAATGTTGGCAAGGTTGCAGAGAAATGGGAATCCTCATACATTGCTGATGGTAATAAGATGGCATAATAAGAGTAATAAGTCACTTTGGAAAGTTCCTTGGCAGTTTCTTAAAAGATTAAGCACAAATTTACCACATAATCCAGATTCTACTCCTAGATATATATCCAAGAGAAACGTCAAATCACGTGTACGTAAAGACTTGCAGGTGAATATTCACAGCAACACATTTATTTATAAGAGTCCAAAAGTGAAACAACCCAAACATCCATGAAATACTAGTTAACAATAAGAAGGAATGAAATATCATCACAGGATACAATATGGATGAACCTCAAAAACATTATGCTAAGCGAGAGGCCAAACATAAAAGACCATGTATTATATAATTCCATTTGGATGAAATGGTCACGAAGGCAAAACTACAGAAACAGGAAAATAAGTTAGCGGTTGCCTGGAACTGGGGCTGAAACAGAGACAAGGAAAATGTTTGAAGGCTATTAACGTGGTGATTGTACAATTCAACTAATTTACTCAAAATCACTGATTTGTACATTACTCAGAATTGGTGAATTTTATGCTATGTAAATTATAACTCAGTGAAGTAGTTAAAAAGAAAATACATATTCAGCTGCTTATTTGTACAAAAGAAACATAGGAAGGAGAAACCAGAAAGAACAGAGATTGGTGACCCATGGCTTGTGGGAAATGGGGTGGAAATGAGGAATGCAAGCAGGATAGGAATAGGATGAGGGAGTAACAGTTCTCTGGTTTTTGTACAACTTTGACTCAGAACCATGGTGATGTTTAACATACACACACATCAAGCAGGAAGCAGAAGTGGGGACTGAGGGAAGATAAAAAATGGAATACAGAGAGAAACAAATGAATCCAAATGTACTATAAATGAATAACACAACCACACTGAAGGGGATGGGGAAGAAAAGTACTAGCCTAAGTAAATTCAAAAAACAGTGACTTGACTGGATATTGTAAGGTTGAAAACAAAAACAGTTGTAATATAAATACCATACCCTAATTATTAAATCTGTTTTACCCACAGGATTATGGAGTAGCAATTCTGTATATACTTTATGTGTATACTGGGATTGAACAAACATACATATATTGCAAATAATGAGAGCCAGGCTTCTTACTGTTAGAGAAAGAGGTTATAAATAAGCCAGGAGGGAGGTTAGAATAATCCTGTGATACTGCTTTGGAATCTGAAGTATCAGTGTAGCTCACTGTTTTTAAATATATAGAGAAATGCATAGATAAAAGGAATAAAAATAGATAAGTGTGTATGTGTGGGTTAGTATACATACATATATTTCCTAGCTCTGTCCACTGAGAGGGCCTAGGAGGAATGACATCCCAGTAACAATGAAAATATCAAGCATCCAGATCTTGGTTTCCGTACACCATTTCCCAATAAAAGGAAAACCAGGGCTCCTTGAAGAAGTGGTTGCTTCCAGGGCTAGGGAGGGGGAAATACAGGTTGAGGCTGGAGCATTTTGTGGTATCAGAAAATTAGGAATTTCTCAAAAAAGGATGGGGGCATGTCAACAGGACACAGGGGACCATGTGAAGGAGCTCCCGATGGCTAAAGTTGGAACAACTTGAGCCAAAAATAAATAACTATATAATTAAATAAATACCTGTGAGTCCATACTGGCATAACATACATAAACACATAAATCAACAAATAAATAAATGGGAAATGAGGACAGAGCTTCCTTAGAGAAGCCCTATTAATAGATGTGCAAGGAACAAGAGAAATACAAAACTAGCAAGAGGCACACTTCACCGTAACAACTAATGCAGGCAAGATCCACAGTTAGATGCTAAAAAGAGTGGACAAAAATTTGAGAACAAACAGGACATTCGCATAGGCCGAAAGTATCTGCTCCAAGATATAGCTCTGCTGAAATGGAAAAAAAAGTAACTCTGAAGTGGAGAAACACAGAATATATCATTTTAACCAGGTGATCAAGATTAACATCTCCTGTAGTGGGACATGTTGACATCGTGTACCCCAGATGTGATGCAATGAAAAGCACACAAAAATAGTTCTGTAGTAGCCCTGCCAAAAGTTTCACTTTTGTATTATTAAAAATGCAGAATGAGAAAACAGGACATTCTCTTATCGTGTCTGTTCCTACCACATCACTTTGTATCATGTGGAAAAACACCAACAAAAGAACTGAACAGCACTCATCTACGAGTCATTGTCAAGAAACACCAGGAAAGACTGAGGAACTGTCACAGACTGGAGGGGACAAGGAGACAAGTTAAATGTACTGTGGGACTTTGAGCTGGATTCCAGAAGGGAAAAAAATAGAACATTAGGGAAAAACTGGTGACATTTGAGTTAGTCTATATAGTTAATAATACTGTGCCAATGTTAATTTCCTGGTTTTAATACTCTACTGCAGTTATGTAAGTTGCTAACACTAGGGTAAAATAAGTAGTAGACATATGTAAAGAATTCTGCATTACTTTTGCAAATTTTCTGAAGTCTAAAATTATTTCAAAATAAAAAGTAAAAAAATAAATACAAAAGCCAAGTCTAGATTCATCCCTAGATGATTCAGTTCCTTAAACTGAGAAATAAGGACCATATAATGAATACTGACCACTGAAACATCCCCTCTCCAAAGTCTGGGACATAAGCAAAGATCATTTAGAATATAACATCCTTCACCTAAAGTCACCTCTGAATCACATTATTTTAAAAATACTCAGGTCCCATACTTTCATTTTTCCAACATTTTGGCAGAAGAAATTTGTAGAGGATAAAATTTTGTTCACTCTGAGCAAACCAGTTCCCATCGTTGAACTTAAATAGGGCCAAGTGACTGGTGATAATCACAACACAAATGACACCACAGACGGGACCCAAAAGGCTTAAAAACTAATAAGCCAGAAAGTACACATGAAGGAGTTACATCTTTGAATATCTGTATCTTTGAGTCTTTGCAATCCTCATTTTCTTTCCTTTCCCTTCTTGGAAGAAAGTTTCCACTTACGGATCCCCGTGCCAAGAAATCCAAACTAAACAGGGAGAGCCTTACTTGCTAAGTTTATAAATACTCCAAGTATTCAAAAGATCAGATCCTTCTAGGGTTCTGGTTGAAAATGACAGTACAAAGAATACATGCTCCCTGTTACCAATGATTACCTGTGGATAAAGGAATAGGAGGATCTTTACTTTTCTATTTCACACATTTTTGTATTGTTTTGTATTGATTTTTATAACAATAATCACAAATTATTTTTAAAACCAATTTAAAGGTATAAGAGCAGCGATGCCAATCATTAATTCTTTTAAACTAAATAGCAAACTTTTCACTCTAAACTGTTAGTAATTCAATTTCAATTGTGATAAGCAAAACTCAACAGCTAAGAATCACCAAACTCTTGCCACTTGTCATTCAATATCATTTACTAAATATGTAGTTTATTCAAAAGAAACCATGGCATGGTTTCTACCCCCAGAAAGCATACAGTGATTGAAAGTCACAATGAAAAAATGAACATTTTTATCCCCAAGCAGGATATGAACATATGTGAATTCCAATACTGTACATAGAATATTTAATACAGTGAGGATGTGGTACGGAGGAATTGACAGAGAAATGTTTCAGAGAGAGGTAGTCTTTTGGCCTCCCATGATGTAGGGCAGATAGAGAGAGATGGCCGTCTATCTCCAGGAAAAGATGAGCTTCAAGAAACGGAAGGGCTTCATGGATGGTCCACCAACCCCACTTGCTATGAACCTGACCAGGAGCACATATCTGATGTGAGAAGTGGGAGTTTTGTTCCTCATGCACAAAAGAGACTGTAAATAATAGGATTTCACACTCAACCAAAGAGGGATACCAGGAGCTGAGTGAACAGGAGAGATGTGAGGCCAGCAACGGAGCTGGAGTTTTATCTAACATTCTTTCACCTGCAGCCTAATTGTGCGAGCATGCCCATAATCCCTTTCCCAATTCCCGTGAGCCCCATGTCCTCATCAGTAACATGAGAGACAGGATTGCCTCAGAGCTCCCAGAAGAGCCCTGCCGGCTCAACATGCTACAACTTCCATTCCCCAGAGCAGCCTGCTCCTACGAGAGTCCACTCTACAGCCAGCTCCCAACTTCACAATATGACACGAGCTAATCCCCAGTGGCCCAGAACACAATATGGCAGAGTCCAGCCTTCAGGCTCCCAGATATGGCGCTCTAAGGGCTTAAAACATCCCTCCACATACACTTTTCCAGGGCTGAGGCAAACCTGCAGCTCCAAATGAGGCAGCCTCCTGGTGCAGCTCTAAAGCTTGGCAGGTCACAACACCAAACCGCCCGAAGTCATGGACAAGATGGAGTCGCCAGCGCCTCAGGGGAGGGCGGAACTCGGGCACTCAGACTCTGGAGTGAGAGTACAAGCTGCCCCAGGGAGGTGAAGGATCAGCCCTGCTCTGGCAGGCATGGCTGTCTGATCAACACAGCTGTTCACTTTCTGCCCCCAAACTGAGTGGGACTGAAGGACACTACTAAAGCACCACTTTTCTTTGATAGAAGCTAGACAAAATGGCATTTCAGAGCCACAGGCAGATGAAACTGTATGATGAACTCTGGAGAAAACCTGATGTTCCCAGTTTTTTAAGGATCTGAAATACATTTCAGAGACTGGGTGATGTGACCCAGGGTTGGGGTGGGAGGGTGGCAGTAGAAGCATTTTTACCAACACAAGTGGCCACTACAAGCGCTGAGGAGGTGGAAGGCTTCCCCCAGTGACCCACACACTACTGGTTACCAGGTCACTTACCCTCACACTGCCTGCCCTCCCCTTGGTAGCCAGGCCTGCAGGCGCACTTGTAGGAGGTGGGTGTGTTCTCACACAGGGCATTGATGTGGCAGTCATCTAGCCCCTGGGCACACTCGTCCACGTCTGCAAAAGAGTACAGCAACTCCTAGGGTGTCTCCCTAGATGACCTGGCCTTGGTCCCTCTCTAGCATCATCTCCCACCAGCCCACACCACCTCACATCTCACTATCTTGGAAGTCCTGGGATTGACATATGATTTCCAGGCCCCTGTTTCCAGGCACAGGCTGTTCGCTCTGACTGGGATGCCCTCTCTACACAGCTCAGACCCACCTCCGCTAGGAAGTGTGCCAGGACCCCAGAGTGCAGGTGAGATGCACCCCCAGGATGTGCTTGCATATCACATTGTCACTGCTTTCCTGCCTGTCTTGCCATCTAGACGGTTGATTACAGATTGGGTCTGTGTCCCTGAGGCCACGCACAGTGCCTGGCACAGTGCCTGGCACATGAGCAGGCAATGGTAAAGGCCTGCTGAAGGCAAGATCAAGGTGGCAAAGATGATCTGAGAAAATGAGCAGGGTCTGTCAGCTTTCTCAGGGTTTGCGATATGGGGGGACAGCTCGCCCTGGGCTCTGAGCCCTCCAACCAGGCAAAGCGGGAGTGGTGCCCCCACCCGCAGCCCCTCCCTGCGGCCCACCCTCTCAACCTGGAAACCCGCCTGGGCAGAAATATTTCCTTGGCTGATATCCCTCTAGCATGTGAACTAAAAACAAACGTTTTGAAAGTATTGCAAGGCCAGTTCGTGCAGAACGGGGGGTCCCCGATTCTCCAAAAGCAGCTGTTCCACGGATAGAAACATTCCCAAAGCCCGTCGGAGAACTTCCCAGCCCCGACCTCACCCTGGACCGCGGCCGGAGCCCTCAGTTTCCCCATCTCCGCAAAGGAGACTCCCAAGCCCTGCTCCCCCGCGCTCCGCCCGCGCGAGTATCACCAGCAGGAGCTCCACGCGGACCGGAGCGGGAACTGTCATCAGCCGCGGGTCTCAGGCCCGGCCGCGCACTCAGGCCCCGGCCTCTAACCCGCGCGGTGGCGGCGCCTCGGCCTGTCTAGCGGCTGGGGCCCCAGGGGAGCAGGGGCCACGCGGAGCCCCGCATCCGAGCCGCGACCCGCTCGTCCCGAGCGCCCCCTCCGCGAGGGGACCCAGCCCCTTCCCGGCGCCCGTCCCGCCCCGCGTGCCAGGTGCGTCCCCGCGGCCGGACACTCACCCTCCGGCGGCCCCGCGGCGCGGCCCCGGTCGGGCGGGACGGCCGCCGTCAGCAGCAGCGGCAGCAGCAGCGCCGGGGCAGCCCCAGGGCAGCCGCGGCCCGCGACCCCCATGGCAGGCGCGGCGGCTGCGGGCACAAGCAGGGGAGCGCGGGCGGCGAGCGCGGCGGCGGCTCCGGGAGGTGTGTGCGGGCGCCCTGCCCGCCGCGCTCTGACACCCCCGGCCCGGCCCCGCCCGGCCCCCGAGCCCCGGCCTCATTTTCACACGGTCCTCCCCGGGCCGCCCCTCCCGGCCCCCTCCCTCTCGCGCGCGGTCCGGGCGGAGGGGGCGCGGCCGCAGAGGCCGGAGGGCGGCTGTCAGCGGCGCGGGGGCGGGCCCCGAGTTCCCCGCGCAGGCCCCCCGCCCCAAACCCGCCGCTCCCGCACCGCCGCCGCGCTCCGCCCGTTCGCGGTGTCCTCCGACTTGACCCCGTCCCTCTTGTGAGGACAAATAGCACTTTTGGCCTGAAATATTCGGACACGGGGCACCCGGAAAGTGTCCTGTGTAGCTCAGAGTCCTATAGTCTCCAAACCCCGACGCCACCTACGGGACTTGCCCTTCTCTCTGCTTAGGAGGGGAATGTGGATGGAATGAAAGTGACTCCGCGCCCTTCGGAGCCTCAGAAGAGCTCACTGGAGAGTGGGACCCTAGCTTCTCTGCTCACCTCAGCAGGCACTCTGTCTACACCCTTCTCCGTTCTGCCCAACCCAGGACTTCTCTGATCCCCTGGCCCAAAGTCCTCGGAGGACAGTGGCCCACTCCCCGCCGCCACCCCCTCCCCACACTCTGCTGAGACTGTCCCTCTCTGGCACGATGCTGGGCCCAGAATCATAACAGAAAATGTTCATTTCATTGAAAAGTGGTTAAATGTATTCCCTAAAGTGAAGGGAAAGGGGACCAGAAGGTCAAGGATGAGCCACCAGGTACAAGAGACAGCCCAACAGGGACACAAGTGGTATGTAAGACCACCTGAGCTAATAAACATAAGTTCTGACCAGCTGCATGTAGGAGGCAGTGCTTGTCACCTGGCCCTCCAAGCAAGACATCCTTACAAGAGAACACACCTGCACAGGGCCCTCCGACACCGTCCTAGGCACAGGAGACGGGAGCTCATGATGAGTAGCATCAGCATGGCTCCAGGAGCAAAGGTAGCAGCAATTCCCAGATGCAACAAAACACCATACTCAGGGATTTCAATGTTCTTTGAGCTTCTCTGTATTTATTAAATTTTCTCCTGTGAGTATATGCGTATATACATATGTGTATGTCTGTGTGTGTGTGTGTATATATATATATATATATATATATATTCATTCCTTTGATAATCAGAAAAAAATAAACATCACAAAAATCCCCACCTAGCTCTGGCACAAAAACATGTCTCTCCCGCTCAGCACCTCTCCTCCACTGCCTCTGCCCCGCCCATCCCCACAACTCCCAGGATGAGACTGCCTCTTCACCTCTTCTTTCCTAGTTCTAGAGCTGCTGTCCGATGGAGAATCTGAGAAAATAACTTTTCTGTGGTTGTTTTTCTTTTGACCTTTTCATCCCCAGCTAAGGCAAGCAGGTTGCATCCCTTCTTCTATCTTTCCCCCATCCCTCCCACTCCCTTTTGTTTGGTGCTGAGAGAGACACTCAGCTATTTCTAGTCATAAGGGTGGTTTTTTACACATTTGTAAATCTTCACTTAGTGAAACATTCTCTCCGCCTTTGTCTTTGTGTCCTTAACGGTAGCCATAAATTACCGCCTTCTTTTTCTCTCCAGCTGCATCAGGCTTCATTGCTTTTGAAATGATCAAAGTTATCTTCTTTGAAAATCCAACCAGAAACTGCCCATTGTGTGGCACAGACCTCGTTAGCTCCAGTCAAAGCATATAAATACATAAAGCTGCCCGTTAAACTCTATGGGAGCCTCCTCCAGTCCTTGTGCCTGGTAAGAAATAAGACGCACTGTTCTTTCCCTTCACCATTTCCCCAAGTTTATATGTCAGTAAGAATACAAATTAATTATAAGACCCAGTGCTTCTTTGCCTAAGAGAGTCAGTTTTCCCTCGTGTCTCCTGGAAAAGTTTACTACTGGCACAGATCTCCAAAAATGTTGTGAATCCTATTTTGTTTGCCCGAACTTCCATACAAACATTCTTTCAGCTGGTCAGCTCCCAGATTCCTGGGCAACCTTTCTGACGCTTCAGGTTAAAGTCGATATGGTTTTCAACTGGGAATTTCCATAGGGGAAAGGCTTCAGGGGAAATTTGTGCTTAAATGTCAATGTTTTCAGTGTTCCAACGTCAAGGGTGACTTGGTGGGCCCCGAGGTAGCTGCTGTCTGCCCTCCATTGTCTCACTGAGGTCCCCACACTGTCCGTGGACTAAGGCTGTACCTCCTTCTCATCTCCCTCAGGCTAAGAGGCTGTGAACCAGACGGGAGGGGAGAGAGAACCCAGCCAGCCTTGTCTCACTGGTTTGGGCTTCTGGCACTAGGACTGTGGAAGCGAAAACTGTGAGTGCCCCTGAATTGCATATGGCTGGGGTAAACTCTGCATTCGCTGGACACCTTTCAATGCCCACTTTTTTGACTCTTCAGCAGCTTTTGGAAACTCCTTTTAGAAATTCTCCCTCCCTTGGGTTTTCGTGGCAGCAGGCAAGCTCGTGATTTTCCAGCCTCTCAGGAATTACCTTCTCAGTCATCTTTTTGAGATCCCCTTTCAAGACCCTCTCCCCGATGGTTCATTCATTCACTTGTTTCTATAATAGAAGTCTCCCTTTAGCTTCGGTTCTGTGCATTTATCTCCAGCTATCTACTGGATGCCCATACCTTGATCACCCACAGGTCCCTCAGATTCAAGATGTTCAAAATGGAGTTCATCTTCTTCCTCAAACCTGCTCCTTATCAAGTGCTTCCTCTTGATAGCACTTGATAGAAAGGCACCATCATGCTGCCAACACTAGGTCAGAGACCTGTCATTCACACCAGAGTCCATTTTCTCTCTTCCCACAACATACAACATACAAACCCTCATGTCAACCCAACCTTCTTAACATCTCTCAAAACCATCCTCTTCCTTCATGCAAGCTTCCAGAGCTCAGGACCTCATCATCCCTCACTTGGTCTGTTGTTCCCAGTCTGTGGCTCTTTACTGATCTCCCTGTTTTGAATCTTACCTTCGGAGCATCTTCACAGTGCCTGTGGGAGTAAAATATAAATTTTGTCACACCAATCCCAGTCTCTCTCAGGCTAAAGTCCAAACTCCCTTGATTTAATCACTCTGAAAACCATTTGCGCAGTATCTACTCAAGCAAAACATGACTACCTGCTTTTAGGTACATACCCAAGAGAAATGAGTGTTTATGCAAAAAAACACATACCAGAATGTTCATAATGAGTGTATTCACACTAGCACAAAGCTAGAAATAACTCAAATCTCCATCAAATAGAGGATGCATAAACAAATTGTGAGATATTTATTCAATGGAATACTGTAGGGCAATAAAATGAACAAACTGTAACACATTCAATGACACAGAGGCATCTCATGATTATTTATATTAAGTGAAAGAAGCCAAATACAGAAGGGTACATATTGTACAATTCCACTTCTATGAAAGTTAAGAACAGACAGAACTAATGAATTGTGATAGAGGCCAGGATAGTAATTCCCTCTAGGAATGGTTGTTGACTGGGAAGAAGCATGAAGGAACTTTCTGGAACACTAGAAATGTTTTAGATCTTGATCTTGGTGATGGATGCATACATACAGTAAAAATTCACTGAGACACTGGCTTACACTTAAAACACTTTATGCACTTTATTGTATGTGTTTTACCGCAAAAAGTAAGTTAAAGCAAGAACTGCCTAGCCAAAGACCTTTGTGGTCTGCCAGACACCCTCTGCATTTCCAACTTCTCTCCAACCCACAAGTTATGCTCCAGCGACACTGAACTACTTGTATCAGGAGTTTGTCATTTCCTACCTCTTATATCTTTTCTTTTGTTCACACTCTTCCCTTTGCCTAAAAGACACAAAGTGGGTCTCAATAAATAAAATGCAATGTCTTGATTAACAAATGATACTATATCCCAGGGGAAAGGTGTTTGCTGAGATGTCCCGCAGACAGCTATGAGATACGGATGAAAGTACTAGAGTCTGCAGGCTAGCAGGTCCTGAGAACTAACGCAGAAAAGAGAGCCCATCAGCTGTCACGCACAGTCATTTTCCCTCCATGGATGGCTTTCACATCTCCTGAAAAACCTTTCCAGTATGTTTGATCTGCACCCATCCCCATTTGCTTATTCGTCCTTCACAACAGATGTTTTCCCCTGCCCGAGACAGTCCCTGTTCCGCGGAGGGAAGCTGCCCCACCTCCAACTTCAGGCTCAGGAGATGGTCTAAGAAGATCAGTACTTTCATTCCATTCCCCCTGTGACAATCATTGGTTCAGGGATAAACACATGACAGTATTCCAATCAGAAGCAATTTCAGTCTCTCTGCTTGAAAGGTTGGAATGGAAGTGTCCTCTCTTCTTGCTATGATATGGGTGTGGTGAATGAGAGTGTGGCAGCCATCTTGATACCAACCCAAAGAGGGTAAATCAAGAGGAACATTGACGCCAACCCACAGGCACGCCCCACCTCAGGATCTCCAGGCAAGTGTGCCAGTACACTTCCTTATTGTTGTTGTTGGTTTTAGTTTTATTTATTTATTTTTGGCTGTGCTGGGTCTTTGTTGCTGTGCGGGCTTTCTCTAGTTGTGGAGGGGAAGGGCTACTCTAGCTGTGGTGCACAGGCTTCTCATTGCAGTGTCGTCTCTTCTTGCAGAACATGGGCTCTAGGGCACTCTGGCCTCCGTAGTTGCAGCACATGGGCTCAGTAGTTGCGGCTCCTGGGCTCCAGAGCACAGGCTCAGTAGTTGTGGCATGCAGGCTTAGTTGCTCCACAGCAAGTGGGAGCCTCTGGATCAGGGATCAAACGCTTGTCTCCTACATTGGCAGGTGGAGTCACCAGGTAAGACCCTTCCTTATTGTTTGAATTGTTTTTTAAAGTTATTCTTTATTCTTAAACTGTAAAAAATATATAAC